TGCCAGTAAAGAGGTGGAAACATGGTTGGGACAGAGATAGGAGTGTCAGTAGTAGAACCAAGTGTACCGAATGCATGCTGTACCTGTGTTATGGCTTAAGACATGTTTTTAAGCACCAGTTTAATTTAATCAAGACTTGCTTGCTGGGATTTGGCATTTCCATGATTAGGCAGAGCCTGATGCACAAGTTTCCTTCCAATGTCACCTCTGATTGGGGTTCTCAGTTTGTTTTCTAGTTTGGAAGTCCTTCTACAAAAGCTAGGAAATGGGATCAATTTGTCAACATCCTGAGAGTGAGGGCCAGACTGAAGGTACCAACAAGGATTTTTAACCTATCTAGGTTACCATGTTTCTGAATTTCAGGATAATTGAGTATAGCTTCTGCCTTGGGCTGAACTTTCTAGGAACATAATGTTTACCTCTTCCATGATGTTGTCTTCATTTGAATATGTCTATGGTTTTCATCCTCCTCTGATAGCAATAAATCCTACTAGCACTTGTGTCCCTGTGCAGGATCTACAGCAAATTGGCATAAGATTTATCAGTATCTCTCAAAATTGATTCAGTTTGCTGATCACCGTAGACACAACCTTCCTTCTTTTCTGGGCAAAGGGTATGGCTATCCCCCAAGAGTTCTGTCCAGTAAACTGGCCCCTCACATCATAGGCCCTTTAGGATTTTGAAGAGCATCAATCCTATTTACCGGCCAGCCTTGCCTCGTATTATTTTTTACAGACTTTCTTCAATCTTCCGTGTTCTTCTCTTGAAACCTGCCAAAAATAGCCCAATCGTGCTGTCAAACATCCTGCTCCTCCTTTTGAGGGCTTCGTTGACCTGGTTCCTCAACAGAGTATTTACTCTTGTCTGGTTCAGGACAATGTTTAATACCTGGTTAATTCACTGGGTTGTCGTATGGAGGAACAAGGCTATGTTTCCGCAAAGGACTTCAGTGTCTTATATCTGATTCGTTTTTTTATGCCAATTTCCCAAACAAGTGTGGTCCACAGCCAAAGGTCGCCTGTTAGGGAGGAGGTACTGTCATATCCGCACTCGTCGGACTCACTACTAACAGCCCCAATCCTGTTATTGAATCAGTAACAACAACAATGTGCTACAACAGGCAATGAGCTCCACCCACCAGACTGTAATTTCTTGCAGTATATAAGGCCCAACTTCTCCTCCCCATGTGCTTAATCTTAGTTTGTATGCTTGTTGTAGCATTTTCCTGTCACTTACCTTCTCGTGGACCGACTCATTATGCTCATTATGCTCATTCTGCTCTTGCATTGCACCTGTACTGCAATTGATTGCTCTGGCTTTGACAATGGACCGCTATTCTATGCCATTTCTTACTTTAACCTCTGGTGCCTTATTCTGAGCCTGCCTGGACTTTTGACTTATGTCTGTACCTGGATATGTTTTGGATAATCTTCTGGTTTGTGCGTTTGTTCCCTGAACTTGGACCATCCCTGAGAGTAAAGAGTTTATATGTTCTCCTCATGTTCTTGTGGGTTTCCTCCCGGTCTTCCAAAATAGGTCCAAAAAACATACTGGTAGGTCAGTTGGCTTCTGGGAAAATTGGATCTGATGTGAGTGTGTTTGTTTTAGTGTTTATGTGTACCCTTTCATGGACCACCATCCAAACCAGGGTGTATCCCACCTTGTGCCCCGTTGTTTGCTGAGATGGCTCTGGCTCTCGCACAACCCTGAAATGAATGAAGGCATTAGAAAATGTTAATACATTAGCATTTTTTTAAATATCCAATTGATCATTTAAATATAGAATACATTTTATTGAGGTACTTTGAGGTAAAACATGGTTTTAAGGCTGTAATTTCACACAGCTTTTGCAGTGATTTTTGAACACTGAAACATATTGTTTTGTTTTAGTCATTTACTCCTTGTAAATCATACAGAGTCAGATGTTTACCCAAAAGACCAACACTAGAGGCCCACCTATAAGTTAAAGCAGGAGAAAATCAATCTGAAAAATGTATGTGAACCTCAAGTAAGCAGATACTTGAATATAATTTTTGCTTTGTATAAATAAACCTCCCACTTATAAGCAGAACAACTAGATTCTTAAGTGTTTATACAAAGATAAAAAAGATAAAGAGGTATGCACTGAAAAGTAAATAATAAAAGTTGTCTCTTTTGTGTAGGCAGTCAAAGACCACCAACAGTAAAAAAAAGTACTAGCTCTCATAGAGAACAGATAATCTGTTGTTTTTTGGAGCATTTTTACAATATAAACAAACAGAAGAAACATGTAACAAGTTCACAGATAGCCTGAGAAATTGTACAGGACAATCCTTAGCACTGTTTTTTTCCTGTCATTGTTTAAAGCATAGAAAAAATATCAAACATTAAGGTTCCCAGGAGAGCTACCTGCATAGATCGTCTTTATTCACTAACGTTATCTTACTAGGTTTGGCAGAAAATTAAGATCATATGTAACAGACTTTTTAACTTGTTTAAATGTTATCTACATCTTAAATAACACAAATGCAGAATTTAAATTCTTCTACATACTGTATATACAAAACAACCATCTATCCATAAATTCAAGGATAGATCCAAGGAATAGATACAACATGATCTCGCTGTACTGTTCTAGCCTTCCTTCCTTCCAACACTTGCTTCTTTGCATCAAAATAAGTATTTACATTTTGGCTGTTATAATCTTCTGATACAGTCTGGACAAACATGTCTGTTCACTGGTCTCTGAGAGCTAGATGGGGTACATCATCCTTGTTCATTCTATTAATTTTTACTGGGGCTCAGGTCTGGCAAGGAGGGCATCCACTGCATAACTCAAATTTTCAGCAGCATGAGGATGTTGGAATGTTGTCAGATCAGGATGAGTCTGCAGGATGGGCAACAAGTAGAGTCCCAGGACTTGATCAATGTAGGACTGTACCATGCAGTTAGGTAGTTATCACTCTTGTGTCAATCTTAGAGAAGGATCATGACTAAGGATCTTTTAGATTGTGACCTATCATTGATAGCAGTTGCCCTTGGCTATAATGTTTTGCCTTGCTAGAGACTTTTGACTGTAAACCCCTTTGGTGAAAGTGAAAGTGGCACAGCCTCCAACAAACCAGTGGTACAAAGGTGGTGTTTTCTTGATAAGTGGGATTGGTATTTTAATTTATACCAGGTTTGGAGTGGGACTCCAAAAAGGGTTACCGTTCTACCAGAAAACGTTCAAACTAACAATAGATAAAATAATTAAAACCCAATTTGGTTTTTAATGGTTTCAGTGCTTGCATTCACTTTGACAGAACTATCAAAGGCAGTGTAATGCATTTCAAATAATAAATATGTTGCATTTTATCTTTGTTTACTAACTGCTTTAATCTGTTCTCTGACTGCTTTATTGTCTAATGGTCATCCACTTAACATTCAAAGCTACAATGATACAGTTTTTCAGTGTTCAGTGTTCAAACCTCTGGATAAGTAGAGTATCAACCAAGGTTTTCATTGGAATACATACAGTACTGTGATCTCTGCCTTCCTCATCCTGAGATTTGTTTTGTAGGTGGGCTGTTCTTTCATTGCACATTGAAATCAATTCTTGGTTTGATTCATCCAAGCACTGTAATTCAAAGAGCCTCATTAAGACCACTAAACATGGTGTGAGTCACACTGAAAGTGATAAAGAACTGATCTACGGTATATATTATTATAAAATAGGCACAGGAATGGGGTAGTAGAAAGGAACAGAAGAAGTTTAATTAGTAACTCAAAGATGAGCTTAGAACATTGTTTGTGGATTTGTGTAACTCCCTCAAACTGTAAATAATGAGTACTGGTATTTTACTGTACCTTATGGTTACATTTGTGTCCATTTTCCTGAGACCAGCCCCTTAAAAGATTACTTACTATGTCCCCCAAACCTATGGATGTACTGCAAGACTTCTACAGAAACACCTTATTTTCATGGTGTACATAAACACATATATTTTACTCTTTCCTAGAACTAAGATATATTTATATATATACAATACAATACAATTACAATACAATATTTATCCACATTTTCTAATACATTAGTACAGTACATATTCGCTGGAAGAATCGGAGTCTAACCCAGTAAGCAATGGGCACAAGGTAAGATATGCTCAGTACAGGATGCAGGGATACAAACACACACACACCTACTCCGGGGTCAGTTTACAGAAGTATTGAATTTAAAAAGTTTAAAATTAGTATAACAATAACCACTCAAAATATATAAATATTTTGTATAAAACAAAGTTTTGAAAACTTAACTTGTAAGCATGTAAGTGTTTGAACCCACCATCTGACAAATTCGTTGCAAGCCAACAACTACAATATATTATATTTCACATTGTTCAATATTATAGAGTTGCACATATATTTACTAAAGAGAATACATTTTTTCTAGAGTTATTGTTTGTAAAATAACACCACACTACAGTACAGCTACAGTATGACAGTACAAGAAAATAATACATACAAAACGAGAGAGCCGTTTCATGAAACAAACTCAGCTGTTATTTTTTATCAAAGGTTAACTCATTCTTTAACAATAACTACATTTCTTGCAAAGGAATGATTATCTTTTACCTTTATCTGTATTCGTTATACAGTATATGTTGTTACGTTGGTGGTTCTGAAGCTTGTGTTAAGTTATGTCACATAACATATAGTTTAGGTTAATAATCATGTTCAATATTTACTTAGATTTAGAAAAACATACAGTACAATTTGTGTTTTTGTTGTTCTCGGTTTTATTTCTAGTTCAAGTATATTATTTTACTGTTTTTTTTTCACTCCCTTTAGATAAAAAAAACAGATCCAGCAGCTTTCATAGTGTTCCTTTGATTGTGGTGTTACATAGAGTAGTGTTTCACAATTTAAAAAATAGTTATTGTAGAATTATTTACATTTGTTCACATTTTTATTGTGGGACTTAGTGAACTATGTACAATGTAATTAAAAAATGCTACCATGAATGACAAATAACTGACATGTATTCTTCAATATTCTTAGTTTTATTCCAAAGAAATAAGATTTTACACAAAATAGCAGTAATGTTTTATTTTCCTTAAGCCTTACAGGTCCGTTACTATGATGTTTTTATTTTTAGTTTTCTGTGACAACGCCTGGTTTGTCTTAAGCAGTCTGATGATGCAGTCTTGCTTGCAGATCAATCCTCTGATAAAAATTATTAACATGCAATATAGTCTGCTATATTCTTCTTCCAATGTTTCTAAACAAATGAACGCCAATAAAGAACTGGAAGATCTAGAGAAAAAAGACATTTGAAAAAACTTTAATTGTAATAACCTGTTGGCTTATTCCACGATTTATACCTTACTTATAGTGTACATCTGTTGGTCTCTTAAATATTTGACTATTACTTTAATAAGGAAAAGAGTAGATCTGTAATGCCATCAAAAGTACATACTGTATGAAAGAATTGTTTCTGTGTTTTTAATGATGGAAATCATCACTTTTATCTATTGCTTATACTTTTTTGGGTGTCTATCTTCTAAGAATAAAGAATTCCATTGTTTGTTTAAAGAAAACTTAATGTATATAGGTAAAAGTCTACATTACAGCACACACGATTGATAAATATCACACAGCCCACTAAGAAAAAAGCTTAAATAAGAACTAAACAGTGAAACAAAGTACCATCCCTTTCTTCCCTAGTAAGTGTATGAACAGTCTTATGTTTTTATTTTCATAAAGTACCTGAATTATGGTGAGTCCTAAGCCAATGCTCAAAATTCCAAAGATATTCTCTGACAGCCAGTCATCTATTTCTTTTCCACAGCCCTTTCCAAAAAAGAAACAACATAAGAAAAAGAGACCCATCAGTATTCCTCTATAACATCATCTATTAATGTCAGTAGATTATGCCCATTCTTTAGATTCTACCTAAGGAAAATAATAAAAAATAAAATCCTAAAAAAATCCCTGTATGTTTCAGTAAAGTTGTAACAGAGATGTGATGACTACAACACTTCATAGGCAATTGGAAAGACTGAGAATAAAGTAGGTTTCTGGGAAGGATTGAACAATGAGGTAAACACTAAGCACATACTGTTTAGTATTTCTCAGGAAATATTTAATTAGTTTATGATAGCTAACATTACATACATGTTATAAAATAATAACACGTGTTTTTTACACCATAGGAAAGACAGGACTGAGATTAGGGGGGTTATGCAGTACTTTGTAAATTTTAGTAGTTCAGGTGGTTAGCTGCGTCAGCATGCGTAGGCTGCAAAGGAATAAGTAATTGGTTTATTCCATGCTGAAAAAAAGAAGAAAGAAAACACAACGTTTCGGCCTTGGAGCCTTCTTCAGGTGTGAGAAACACAAGGCAGTAAGCAAAGGTAATGTAGCGGGAGAACAAAAGCTGGGAGAGAGGAGGACCAAGAGGCAGGAGCAGGGGACAGAAAGAGATGCCAATCATGAGGTGTGAAGTCAGAATAGGTGTAGAGAGGTGTAAAATGAAACCTCCAATGAATAGAGAAAATTTAGAAGAAAAGTAGTCTGTCGTTAAGAGAAGGGGGAAGGTATGATCCTAGCTGCAGGATCTTTTTACTTTGTAAATTTGTTTAGACCTGTATTATGGTGTCCCATTTTGTAAAAAATACAAAATGATACACACCCACTTTTTTAAAATCTGAATGCTCAAACTGAAGACTTCTAAGTAAGATACTGTATATACTGTATGTTACAGTAAATGATAGCAAGAATAAAATATGGAATATGTTGAAAAAAACTTATATATGTGATTGCATAAAGATTCAGAACAGTAAATTCAATAATTGGTGAAAATATTTTGGGCAGCAATTAGAGCAGCATATTTTTGCCCATTCTGCATGGCACATTTCCTCAGGCTCTCTCAAATTGCTTGGGAATCACTTATGGACAGCGGTTTTCAGATCTTTCCATGAGTCTCAATAGGATTAAGGCCAGAAATTTGACTTGATTAATTACTTTTTCTTATTCTTAAGTCACTCAAATGTAGTTTTGGCCTTGTTGTATGAATCATTGTTCTGCCTGCAGAAAGGTGAACAATTGTCTCAGTTTTAGATTTGAATTAAGCTTTCCTCTACGATTTGCCAGTACCAATATATCTCCACATGATTCCCAGTCCCTACTGATGAGAAGCAAAACTATACCATAATGCTGCCACCACCATGCTTTGCAGTTGGTGTTGACTGGGTTGATTGAGTGTTGCATTATATGGAGCGTGCATCAGAAGGCTTCGCATTTAGACGAGAAAGTTCAAGTTATGTGGTGCCTGATCACTTAGGTTTATTGTTGTAAGCTCATGCATATTTTGAGTTTTTTGTTCAGTTCAATATAAGGCCCCTTTGTTGAGTGACTGGGATATTGTTGAACTATAAACATTTTCTCCCATCTCAACAAATGAACCTTTTCAAAGTCAGCACTGGGCTAAATGTGGCATCCCTAAACATCTACTGATTAGTATCTACTCAAAGGGGTCACTCAACTTTGTGACTCATTAAGATAACTTTATACAGCTAAATTAAGTTAGGGTTGCTCGAGCAAAGTGTTGGAATACTTATACAATTATGGTTTTCTTTTAATATTCATGATTCTTCTTTATTGCTTTGAATGTGTGGAGTATGTTGTCAATATAACACATAGTAATTGCTACTTCAAAGTGTAATGAGTGCAAGCTTTAAAGCAACAAAATGTAAACACTGTGCAACGTTCTGAGTATACCTGAAAGAAAATGTACTTTAACAGCAGACAAGACCTTACCATGCTCAGACAATATTCACAAGTGTCTTTAAGACACTTTGAACACCTTTGGTGAAATTAGCAGTGTTGATGTTTAGTAGTTAAAAGGATAGATGAAAAAAAGTATATTAATTGACTTGTGAAACCAAGGAGTGCACCAAACTTTATTTAAAAAAGCAAAGTGAATTAATACATATTTAAATTTAACTTTATCTACTCTAGTCATCTAGCATAAAGTAGATTTTGTGGGATTTTAAAGTAACATAAACTTTTAATCATTTGGCTAATATTCATGTCAATCATATTTGTTTGTTAGCTTTCATTCTCACCCCTCACAGTAGACAGCACTGACTCTGTTCCATTAGTACTAATATTAATGCAAAAAAGTTAGATCTTAAAACCTGTACTCTAAAACAGACATCTTAAAATTGCATACCTTTTTGTAAAGGTGTAGATTCTGTTCAGTTTCAGAACAAAATATACTTGAAGTTGTAATATTAAAGCAGGAGCAAGGATAAACACTGGAATCATTAAGTGATGCAATGTAGCCATTTATCTGCCAGTCTGTGAAGTTGTATATTCCACAGCATTCCAGCTAGGAGAGAAGGAAAAAATAGGACATGAATACTGGTTATTTAAATTTCTCATCCATAGATGAGACTATTTCTGTAAGTAGTATTTTACAGCTACAGTAAAGCCTACAGTGATATAATGTATTGTCTAGTTAATAAATCCCATCTATTATGTGTTATTCTTTATACTATAATAATTCTAATTAATTATTTTATGTTATAAAGATTGGTTCTATACTGACAATAATAACTTTACACAAACCTTGTGTTTCTATTATATGATTCTTTTTACACTTAACTATGAATTTAATTTATAAAATTTGAGAAATCAAAAGTAAACAAAAGTTACTTTCAATTTAATTTTACAATATAATCTTGGATATATAAAATCTTAGTTCAAAAGATGGTATAAAAGTGATCGTATTGTGATAGTACTGTACATTCCCTTTAAAACACTATTTAAAGAATTCCGTCAAAATATATATACATACATTGTGTTGCACTGCATCCAGAATTTTCCATTCATTTTTGTTGTTGTCAGGTTCTGTGGTGCCATTTCCCCCATAAGTTGTAATCATAAGGTGAATTTCCTTCTCTAGGACATCATTAATCTAAAATAATTCCAATTTGTTTATTTCATTAATTTAATTTAGTTTTTTTAGAGATCACAAACACTAACATTTTCTCTTTTTTACAACACTGATTGAAAAATATAATACATAACATAACTGTCATGGATGTCAGAAGGGACGAACCGTGGAATGGCAGGAGAACGATTAAGACCCTATGAGTAGCGGTGGAATGGGGAATTAGCCCGGGCTCAGCAGTTCAGGAGTCATATAGAAACCAATGCCCTCAGGCAGCGGATGTGGGGCAACCTGGTGCTAGGCGGGTCTCAGGACATCCGAACGTCAATGCTGAGCGAAGGTGAATGAATGAACAAGAAATATACAGTATACTGTATCCCCAGAGAGAGAGACACTGGAAGGACAGCAAAGCGCAGGAATCTAGGGACAGGACAGAGTAGGAGCGCCCACTGGCTGCAGAGGGTGTGACAATAACATGCAATATCTTTAATCAATATCGTAAAGGCAAATGATTCTACGTGTATTTACAAGTGCATGCTGCACTGGACTGAAAACAGTCAAGCTGATTAGAGATGTGAATATACTGTATGGGAACACAGAGGTGAGAGTTAATGCCAGGAGTTCTTTGAACAGTATACAAATCAATTTACCATAATCCATTAGAGTTGAAAAAGACATGTTACAGTTGTATTGTTACTTTGTTTGCCAACAGCAAGTAGTCAGCCAATTGTGAAGTAGTTGTGTTTTAACCTGGTGAAGCATAATGGAATAATATTTGTTATTCAATACTGATTTGTCTTTTAATTTATGAATTGTTTGTCAGTGAGGGTGATGTAGATGTGAGTTACATTAGTAAGATGAGACAATGTTAACTTTCAAGGGTGTCCCACTTGACATATCTAACATATAAAAATGTGGATTTGTAATTGGCTATTACAAATTGGGAACTGTAAAAGGGGCTAATGATTTGCAATTCTCACTTAATTAAAACATTAATCTACTTGCATCTATAAAAAAATGAAAGAGCTTGCATTTTATAATAAAATATTTATTTGATCAATAAATGAATACATATTTGGAATATTTTGTTTTATTCTAACATAGAAGTGGACAAGCAACGTTGTCATGTTTAAATTATTTTTTTCCCCAATTTAATAAGGTATGTGCTTAAAGAATGTCAATTAACTTGGTGTCACCCTCAGTCCTTTGCTGCCCTACTCTCTTTACATATTTTTTGTTTCATAAGCTTGCACTTTATTTCTGAACAATAATGCAGAAGTCATCATTTTCTCACGAGCTTGAATCTAATTAGTTTAATTCAAATCCCCAGCTTTGCTTGGGACATGCTGCAACAATTTTCTTCTGATTAGCCTTCATGCTTCTGCCATTTGTTTGGTTTCTGAAAACTTTGCTTTTCTCTCTGTATCCTTTCGAACTCACTTATCTCGTGTTACAATTACAATCATTTCACATTCTCTATCAGTTTCTAATCCCCTACTTAAGTCCTTTGTTTTTCCTTACAGTCTTTATCCTCTTATCTCCCCTTATTCCCTCTCTCAACCACACCCCTCCTCTCCTACTGGTAAATGGAAATACCTTCTTCTCACTCTCTATCCTCACAATCCCCTCCATCTGTTCCTGTGCTCCAATGTTGTAAAACCAGCTACAGAATCACTACCAGGTCTTCCTCACATCAAAGAATGCACTTTGCCTCTACCTTCTCATTGCTCTTTTGCTCTGTTATTGGTACTGTCCCATTTCATTGTACATGTCTGATGCACCGTGACATGTTTTTTTTACACTTCATAAAATTCTGCAGTTTGCATTTTTATAATAATAATAATAATAATAATAATAATAATTGCTTGGACGATGCGACGGCAGCCATAGTGCGCCAGAACGCTCACCACAAATCAGCTCTCAGTGGGGAGGAGAGCAGAGTAATGCAGACAATTTAAGATGGGGATTATTAGGAGGCCATGATTGGTAAGGCCAATGGGAAATTTGGCCAGGATGCCGGGGTTACACCCCTACTCTTTTCGAGAAACACCCTGGGATTTTTAATGACTACAGAGAGTCAGGACCTCAGTTTTACGTCTCAACCGAAGGATGGCACCTGTTTGCAGTATAGTGTCCCCGTCACTATACTGGGGCATTAGGACCCATATGGACCACAGGGTGAGCGCCCCCTGTTGGCCCCACTAACACCTCTTCCAGCAGCAACCTTAGTTTTTCCCAGGAGGTCTCCCATCCAGGTACTGACCAGGCTCACACCTTAGCTTAGCTTAGCTTCAGTGGATTGCCAGTTGTGAGTTGCAGAGTGATATGGCTGCTGGCAGCCATATTACTACTGTATGTAATTTACTGTATTAAGGTGACTGATGAGATTTCCCTCTTTTTAATTTTGATTGTATCTTTCAAAAGCTAACTTAGACGTAGTCTTCAGCAAGACAAATAAGGAAAGAAAAAATTCCATCCTTATGAATGCAATAGAGAGATGAGATATAATTGAGTATTTGGTGTGACTCACCTAGCTGGGGTAATAGCAGATTATTGTGAGGAGTAAACTAGGGACTTTGCTGCAAGGGTGAAGATGGGAAGGCAGGGAGGATATGAGAGAGATATGTGAAGGGAAGACCTGGGTGTGAGACTTACTGTATAGTACTGTATATACTGTACAGTATGAAGGTAGGTGGAAGTGTGCAAGATTGCAAGAAGTGTGCAAGAATCTAACCTTCCTCCTGAACGTCTGTTATAAACATCATTGATTACCACTGTAATGGGAATATTGCTATTGAATTAGAATTGAAAGTGCAGCATATGTCAATACACAAGTAATAGGTTTATTCCATGCTGAAAAAAAGAAGAAAGAGAACACAACGTTTCGGCCGTGGAGCCTTCTTCAGGTGCCAATACACTGTATATGTCAATACAGTGTGACAGCAAGTACGAGCACAAGATAGTTGAGATTTTTCAGCTAAATGGAACTAATCCTTCTTGCATAAATGAGAGAAATTAATTTCAGCACTATTAGATTTAATAGAAACTCTTCTGGACCCCACAACTACTTAAAAATACCACGATCACAATTATGGGAAAGAATTAAGATTAATTTCTAAATCACCAAAACATTTCTCGTAGTTATGTAAAAAATATGTGTTACAAGTATTTTAAATCATGCAATCTGTTTTGTTATGTTTTGTTTTGTTTTTTTGGGGGGGTTAAAATAGTGTAGTTTGTTATAATTGATAACATTCCAAGAAATACACTAACCTTAATCTGCAAACACAATTACTCACTTACCTTATTTTTATTTATTAATAGTACAAAAGTGATAAGAATCTGGCCAGAAACTATTATGATCAAACAGCTCAAATACTGAAAAAAAAGAATAGAACACAAGGAAATAGGTTAAAAATAAATAATATGCACAAGGGAAGTCAGTATGTCGCCGACTTTAAGGCAAAACAATATTTTATATCAATTGTTTTTGACTGTGCAGAGTAGTCTGGACAAACAATTAAAGTTTTTATCGGGGAAATTACTGTATGTATGGTCAAAGCCATTACAAAATCCTATATTATGATATTTTCCTTCAATCTTATTAACTTAAGTGTATACGCACAAGGCAGCAAAAAAAGTGATATATCAGAAGAATTAACATACTTCTTTGAATTGTGTGACCTTTCAGCCTGACAACAATGGAGCTTGTTCTGCATCATCTATCATGATCAATACCTTGGGTATCTTACTGTCACAATAATATGTTCAGTTTCATCATGGTTTTCCTTTTTATGTATATTACTTTTAAAGCTCCTTCAAATAAATTAATATAGCAAAGTTCTTTGTATTAGTTAAGTTAAACCTTAATCTTGCTGGGTGCTGAGTAAAGTATCTACTTAATGACTAATTTAAATTAACGTTCAAAGTAATTAGCTCTGTTTCTTTCAGGACTAAAATGTCATTCAAATCCCAACAGTATCATAATGATACTGTGTTACAATAGTATAAAAGTGAAATAATAATTGCATGTAAGATTTCCTGAATACATTAAATAACACATTAGTTATACAGGACACTTTAAGCATTATGTTATTAGCTTTCAGTGGGTGGAAAATAAAATGATAAATTATTTGTTTAGATACACACATCTGTTGGACAATTAACATATTTCTTTTTAGTTTTGTTGAATATTTAACAAGTACTGTATGCTTTTAATTACATTTATGTACTCTGGATATTTTTATCATAAATAAATTACCTATTTAGTAATTAAATACAGAACTCACCATTAGTAGAAGGCATCTTATTTCTTTGTAAGCACCCAAACAACCTATGAAGCAGACAACTGCAACTACAAAGCCAATTACAAGAAGACAGGTTGCAACAAATTCTACAGGTTCAATAGGTTGATCCTCAGCTCCTATGAAAGTAAAATTACAGATTTCAAATAAAGAATCTAGGTAGGTTTGTCAGCACAATTACTGTACTCTTCTACTATTGCATTCCCTAATAAATAGATATCATATTTTAATCTAGACAATTTAAACAGCTCTCAATAGTCAGATTCTTTAAGTTAAGAGTTTAGAATGCGGTGCCCAAGATAGCAAGAGACAAAATCAGATGAAGATGGTTTGAAAGAACAAACTTTAAGTTTTTTTTTTTGGATTTTTTTTTTTTTTTTTTTTTTAGGATATGATATGACTGCAAGAGAAATGAGAAAAGCTAATCATTAACTATTGTATTTCCACAGCTGCTTATCCGTGCATGATGTCATGATATACACTACAGTATAAGATTTCTGTTGATCAAGAGTTATATTTGTAATGCCATTGCTGAAAAAATATTTAATATTTAAATAAAAGAAATAGTTTTGTACCCCTGGACTGGAACTGCAGACTCCACTGACCCTTTATTAGAAAACATTTCCTGACAGCAGCAAACTTCCATCTCTATAAACATGATATATGACTTACATTGCCTTCTGAGTACCTGATATAAACATTGCATTATATATATATAGTTTACTTACGTATTAATGTGATAAAACTATTTCTGTCAAACAAAATCCAAAGTCCACTTCCTAGAAGCAAGAAACCCAGAACCTAAAAAGGAATATTTATAGTGCATTGTTCTATAGTCCCATATCATCTTTCTGTATATTTACAATTTAATTATTTTGTTGATTTGTCCTGTAATCAACATCCTTGTTTCTTTTTTCTGGCAGTTTAAACACTAATAAACATCCAGCGTCACAAGTGTAATAGTCCATTATCCCATAAAAATAAAAACATATGGAACTTGGGCACTCTTTTTTTTCATTTTCTAAAATGTTCACTTGGATTAACTTAGTAAATAACTTGATAAACATGTAAAGTTATGATATAAAAAAAGATTAAAGTTTTGTTTTACTTGTTTTCCCATTTGATAAACTTGGCACATTATCCTTTAGTGCTAAAAAAGAAAGTCAAGAATATGTCCTGTAAATAATAATTATAAAATACAGATTTGCCACAAATTCATATTGAGTGCATTTTTAAAACATCGTTATGAAATGTGTTATACAAATCATTTGCAACAACTAATATTTAACGATTCTTAAGAAACGTTAATTTTGGAAGTGCAAATGAGTACAATGAGAACCCTACGTGACAGAAGCAGAAGAAAACTACATGACCTGACTCCATGAGTAAATGGTGCTCTAAAGTCAGAGCTCTAAATGCTCTATAGCTACCCGTCACAGTGCCTTACCAGGAACACTCCATTGAAAACCATCAAAAAGAATCGGAGAATTTGTATTTTGTCTTCAACTTTCATAATGGTTACTTCAAGTTTTACCCTGTAATAAAAAATAAAATAAAATCCAGAACAGTAATTTACTGTAGATCAAATGTGCGTAAAAATTGCAGCCAATGGCGACAGCTATTCAATTGTTAAACTATACTGTACTGTACTGTACTGTATGTCCCAAACGGTCGTCAGTCATAATTGAATTGTCTACTTTCGTTTTAATTCACATTTTGTTTAATTATTAACACATAAAAATAGAGATTCCAACATTTCCAACTCCGCACTTTACGGTGCGCAAAAAAATAAAACAAAAGGAGATTTAAATCCATAATTAAACAAATGCAAAGAACAATTCATTCTAACCCATCTTTCCGCTCTCGTTGAATAAGGGATAAACGTCTCGTTTAAGAGCTCGTAAATTCTGCTTTTTAAAAACAAATAGTTGACATGTTAGTAAGTTACTGCACATGTATGATCGATTTCTACCGATTTAAGTGAGTTTTTATTTGGTTTCTCTTGTTTCCAAGGTGATGACAGCCTGACTAGCAAACAGGATCTGTGGACTAACGAAGGATTGCCCATGGCTATTTTCTACAATACAGTCCAGTATGTCGTTCTGTCTTGTTCTCGAAACATTAGTTGACGGATTTATTGAGCGCCATCAGGTTGTGAGTCAACACTCACTATTACTATTACGGTTTAGTAATAAGGTGTGAAGTCAAGCTTCCTTTAATCGATCTGAACACACAGTAACTTCGGTTTTCTTCTTCTAAGAAACCGGGATGTTTTAAAAAATGTGTTGAATTTCAAAGTGCTGTCAAATCTGCAACTGATAAAGTGACGGAGGTGATGAACATGTCCAGTGTGAATGTATTGTACCACACAGTTTGGGAGCCCAAAATAAATTATTTCTGTAAACTGACAGCTTTTTTTTTATGGAGAAAATATTCTAGGTTTTAAGACTCCCACCCCTCTCTGGCATTGATACCAGATTGCTTACCCAATTGAAGTGTACTGGGGTTTCAACCCCAGACCAAAATTGAGAATTCCTGATCTATACTAGATGGTGTAGATGAAGAATATGAACCCTTTTTTCTGAAAAGCTACCACATGTCTTCTACAGCATGAATTCATTCTTGTTTCTCTCATTTAAATTCTTTCTAAAGACACAACATGCTGTAAAATAGTATTATACAGTAGTTCGCAAGGCGAACAAAACTGAACACAATATTATAATTGGTATCTTACTAATGATTTAAAAGTTTATCCATAACTTCCTTTGATTTAAATTTTACAGTTTTGCTTTATATCCTAAATGTATGCTTCTGTTTATGTTTATTGTTGCTTCCCCAGATCCAAATCACCAATGTAATATGTATAGGGTAAGCCCTTCTTACTAGTGTGAATTAATGTTAAATTTAATTTGCCACGTGTCTTCCCACTCCATGATTTTGATTTGATGATGAACCTTTCATGAGTGACCTTATCAAAAGCATAACGAACATCATCATTATAAAATAACCATGCCTTTGTATCCATCTATCCATTTGCAGTATAATGTGTATGAAAATTTCATGTACAGTATATTCAAAATTGATTACTTAATTTTTCAATAATTGAGAGAATTAATTCATGAAAGGACTTCAATATTTTTTCTAAACAATTATAAGATAATACTGTACTTTAGAAACTTAGCATTTTTAATCAGCAAAAGAGATCAAATTAAATGTCTTTTTCTTTTGTATCTTTTCTACTTATAGCAAAATGTATACAATAATAGTCAAAGGTACTCACATTCAACATGTTCTTTGAATAATACTCCAAGAAATGTCCATGTGGTGAAGTGAATACATTTAGTCTTAAACTCTTATGTCACCTTTTACTGGAAGAATTTCCTGGTTCCAAAGTACAGCTGTCCTTCCTTGTTCTTTAGTACTTAATTGCCCTGGTTGTGGCTGCATGAAGTATCGTTAACTTAACTTGTCCTTCTTATAACACTGTTTTCCAAATTACATTTAATTTACTTAGGTCTTGTGGTAGGCAGTTCATTAATGCATTGTTCACAGTCAGCCTGCTTTTGATTTACTTTAGGGAAGTTCTGGTAAGAAATAGTAGCAAGTGTTGATAGGTGTTGGTAGAAAAGTGGTACTGAAATAATACTCATCAGCATATCAACTGTAGCACTTTAGATGTTCTTATGCAATTGTGTAGATGCTAGTAGTGGGTTTTGAAATTAAATGTTCAGGTGGGTAGCTGTGACACCTGAAGAAGGCTCCATGGCTGAAACATTGTGTTTTCTTTCTTCTTTTTTTTTCAGCATGGAATAAACCTATTTCTGGTTCCTTTGAAATTAATTGACTGCCAGTTGACACTTTTATGTGAAGCTACTGTAGTCAAGAGTGGTTAACAAAATATTAATATTTCCATAATAGTCTTAGATTAATGATTAACACATTATCTGGAGCAAAAGAAAATAGTTTTTAAATAGTTATCTGAGTGTTTATGGCTATGACTCTGCTCTGAATTTACAGTTGTGTCATTTGTTTTAAAGATAAAAAATGACTTGTTAGTAATAATGCATTCGAAAAACAGAATATTTGCACATTTTTTTATTTTTCTTGGATGCCATTGAACGAATGTAAATATTGTTTTTTTTACAACTTCTTATTTACTGATATTTAAGAGTTACAGCATATATGGGTGTTTGGAACAAGCTGCCCAGCCTTGGTATCAAATTTGATATCCTGTCTTCTTTCAAGAAACTGGAAAGCATCCTCTTGTGACTTCAATATTAGTAATCAAATGAGCAAGATGGGCAAAAGGGTCTGTATCTCTCTTATGTTCTTATTAACAATATGTTTGAATAGACGACAGCTCCCTGAAAGGGCATAGCATTTTGTTATGGAACTATGGTAAAATTTGACCTAAGCATTTTTCACTACTTACAGAATTTAAAGCTGAAAGTCAAAGTCAATGAAAAAACTTAAAAGATAGATAAAAACCATCAAAGCAAACAGTAACATGACACTCATGTTGATTCTGAGGAATAAAGACATTATTTGACCATAAATGTAGACACATTTGTGCGCTCTGTATTACACCAAAAGAATGATAAAGCACAAGTAATTCAACAGTGTAGCATGCACTCCCCGCACTCATCTCACCTATCTCAATGTGATGGAGGATAGGGGGCCTGGATTTTGACTTCAGGATAATAAGGATGATTTAGTAATGATTAATTTATTATACGATTTATAGAAGAGTTCACATCACATCACTGTTAATAACTGCTTATCCAATTCAGGGTCACACTAGACACCAGCTGTCCCAGGGCTCACACACACACACTGACACCAGGACCAGTTTTCCCAGAAACCAATTAAACTGTCTCTGGACTGTGGGAGGAAACTGGATCATCCTGAGGAAACCCATGTGACCCTACTGTGACAGACAATTTAAATATCATGCTCCCTTGTTCAAAATCTAGATATTTTTTCATACACGTTATTAATAGGCTTTAGCCAAATAAAATTATCTTGACCTTTTCATTTATATTATTAGTTAAATTAAATCTATTTGAGTGATGATCATGTTTTGAATTCTACGTCGGTCAGCGAGTAGTAGCGTAATTCGAAATAGAGTCGATATTCTCCTTGTTTCTAGGTTTGACCCTAATTGCGCTCCATAGACTATTGGTGGTGTTGTTTCTATGGCAACTGCATGCTGAGGACGCGGTGCTATGTTACTTGCGTAGGAAAACTTCTCTGTAAGGTAATCTGCGGCGTTAAATTCAAGCTTTTATTAAAGCACTAGCTGGAAGTTTAGTGATCTTACTGTATGACATTTGAATGATAAAAACAAACCGATCTTTATTTGGAGCTGTTGTAGTTCTTTCGCGGTTTTCGTTCTTATTGGGAGTATTAAATATGCATATTGTTTTTAGTAAAATATACGTCTCTTTAAGAAACAACGTACAGATTGTCTTTGTAAATTGATCATCATGTACACACACACATTACGGGGCGAAATTAAATAATTTGTTTTAAGATCTGTTCTTACATAATTGTTAACCTGTCCGTCGTAGTTTAGGCCAGGGTTTGGAAATCATGCTCCTTTTCTAATAAAGACGACAACAACAGGAGCAACAAACATTTTCTAGACTGACCAGTCAACTTTCACGATGTGGCGATTGCATTTTTATAAACAACGATTTATTAATTCCGTTGTTGCGTTATCATTAATGATTTAGGACATATACAATATGTAAATAATGCTGTAGTAAGGAAACAATTATTTTGTGAAATACAACATACAATTTAACATGTCTGATGAATACAATATACAATACATTTCTCTGTCTTGATGGACTATATGCATACAGTAGGTAGGCCTATAACATATAAATATTGCATGTGTTTTTTGTTAGCACACTTCTTAATATAAAGACTCTATTTTATTGTATTTTATTGATGCTTGCTTTTTCAGAATTTTCTTTTTTTCCGAAGATAATGAACAACAGACTAATAGAGGAAGCAATTGAACAAGAACTGAGCAAAATCTGCATTAACCCTTCAGATACTGAAGAATTAGAAACGTTTTCAGAAGATGAAACAATTTTTGATGAAGAACCAGTAAGTTTTTTTTTTGTACAGTATACTGAATTAATATAACATATGTAAAGTAATATAACAGTTAAAACAGTAGGTTTATAACTCTAACCTCTGCAATCCTGAATTTTAAATTTTACTGATTTTTTACCATAATGGGGCTTTTGGGGTATTTATTTTACAAAATAGTTTTGTAGTATAGAGACCATAGGAAGTTCAAAATAATGTACAATAAGTTGATGTGCTAAAAGTAACATTTTACTATATGTATGTGTTTATGTGGTCTTTTGCTATAATTTGTATTAACAAAAGGGTAACATAGTAACAAATATTATAATACATGCTGTGGATTGTCTACTTTGCATGCTTGAAGGTGTTAATGTTTTAAAAAATAGTTCCTTCATTGAGTATAAGTTTTTGTAATCATTTTGGAATTGCTTCTTACTTAGGTCCCTGATGAAATACCTGAGTCAGTTCTTTCTTGTTTGGAACTGGTTAAAAATAGAATGCATAATGCAGAACAACTCATTCTACAGGACCTAGAGGAAACAGATTGTGGTAAGATAAAGTGGTAACATTGAGATTAATGCTAGAAGCAGTCCCCGAGCTGGATATATGGATAATGTTTGTGTGCACTAAATTCGTTTCTAAGATCAAGTCTCCAAAGGCACTACCCACAAAAAATAGTGAAAAGATGTTTTCCATGTGTGGTCATCTTTTGTGTAATATTTCACTACAAATGCTGACTATAGTTCTATGCACATTTCTTTTTCAGATTTAATAAAAAAAGACACGTGTGGCACCATTTCAAATCATAGTGAAGATTTTTGGATGAAACTGGCGTCTGATTATCATGAAGATCCCATCAAGTTAAGAGAAAGGGTGTGTCTTGGGGAAACCTATTAATATTACACACAATTACACACGGTGGCAGCATTAAGCTGCTTCTCAGAAAGATGCATTTAGAAATCTTTTAGTAAAACAAAAAGTAAAAGCAGAGAATAGCAATAAGTGGTGAAGGTGACTAAATATTGATGGAAGAAGGGTAGTCAGTATAGACAGCTGTAATTTTGAAACATTTTTGGTAGTGGTAGTTATTTTAAAAGATGCCAACAAAATAAATAGAAGTAAGGTACTTAGAAGAAAAGCAGAGTAAGTCAATAAAAGTAGAAGATACAATAACCAAAAGTTAACCAAATGAACAAGACGATTTGGGAGTCTCTGATCGGATTTTTTTGGATTTTAAGGTGAGATTTCTGTAAATCTCGGTGAGATTTCTGAAAATTCTGCTTTTGTGCAAAGACATAAAAAGCCATGAAGTAATATTTATGGCACAATATTACAGTTCACTTTACAATTTAAAGCAAAAACATTATGATAAATAAAAATTCTAACCTTGGAGAATACCTCCAAATAAAAACTAACATTATACTTTTACCTAGATAATTCATGAAATTGAAGAAGATGAATCACTGATAAACCAGAACAGGCCAGAGTTTAAGGTTGGATCCCCAGAAACTTTAACTGAGCAAATCCCAGATGAGGACAAAGGTACTGTATGTACTGTACTGTATTTTTCAGATTGTACTATATCTTTCCTATCTTAGCTAGTTTAAATTTTCTTTTGATTATAGAGGAAGAACAAAGTGTACCCCTGACCCTTTTGTGTCAAGTAAGAGGCTTAATATTTGCTATTATTCTTTTTTCCTCCCACATTCTAGTACTCTTGAGGGAAGGAAGGTATGTACTCCACAGTCTTCAATAATTGCTCTGCCCAAAGCGTGTCCCTGTAGGGAGTTCCCTTATATAACAATGTGCATTTTTCTTTGTTGACTTTGACTTTACCACAGGACAAGTTTATTTGGTAATAGGCCTTTGTCTTTGCACTAATCTTTTTTTTATTTTTCCTCTCCAAGTCAAGAGTGCTTTATTTTCTGTCAACATGATCTGAGTAAGGTTTTTAGACCCAGAATCAGAACCTAATTTCTACTGCTATCATTTATAATTGGATTGAGGGCAAATATAATTGTTACTTTACTTTTCTGTTGGATAAAGGTATTTGCTAGAACTTTGACCACCCCCTTAGCTACATATTGTAAACCTAAGTAATTTACAATTAGCTGGTGAGTTAAAGTTTTTAATTCAGGCCATAATTGATTAACTATTATTTAACGAAGACGTCTGTAAATGAGGTAAAACACAATTTTAAAGTTAGAACTGTCCTTGCATATCAACTAAACTGTTGAACTTGGGTATCTGATAATGTTTACCTGAAAGGTTAATTGTGGCTGATTTGATATACAGTACATTAACTCTAAAAGATTATCTAACATTTTCTTGTGAAATGATGGATTTTATAACATCCCAATCTTTATATAAAATAGTGGCTTTTGAAACAATGTAACTGCCCTGTAACTACAGTATTTATGATATAACTGCATATATTTATCTTTTCTTTTTAGAGAATCTTGAGGCTACTTTGGCTAATATGTACTTAGAAACTGAGAAACAGTGCCTGCTTGAACTGGAGATCTTGGAGAAGAAATTTAAAGAAATGGAAGAAAAAAGAGCTGCAGAGCTTAAGGCAAAAAAAGATCAACAGTTGAAAGAACAAAGAGAGGAGGAAGAGAAAAGGAGACACAGACAGAAGGAGTTTCAAGAGGAGTTAAAAAACATAGAGTCTGAAAATATGGTAAAGGATGCATTACACAGCATAAACACAAAGGGCAGTGGAGTATTACAGAATATTACACTTAAAAGTTTTTAAAAATCACACATTTTATCGTTGTTTAATTATTACCACTTGCGTTAATAAATGAACAGAGGATATCAAGCATTCAACAAACAATTTGGTTTATAAAAATGTATAACAAAACATGTATTCTTTTTTGAGAAAGGCAAAATAGGCTCTTATCCTCAGACTTCGTTAAATTACATTCAAACAGCTGAATACGTTGTAACAGATAACATGGAATTTTAGACTGATAATGTATTCCAAAGTATTATTTGCAGGAGAATCAGAATGAAGTGGACGAGACTGAAAGAAAAGAATTTGAAAAATTACAAGAGGATTTACGTGCTCAAGAGGTAGCCTGTTTTTGCTTAGATATAAATACTTTAATGTATTTCTATGCAAATGTAATAGACATGAAGAATTTTAAACAGTAATGATCAGCCAGTCTTTCCCTTCATTCATCCATTAACATGAGCAGACCAGGGGTGGAAGGTGGTACGGTATTGCTCTCCCCATGGTTATAATGCCATGTCATTGAAGCACAACAATGACATACTGTACAGTACAGTAGATGTCCACATTAGGATCTCATCTGGAAAAAGGTAATGAGAAAAGGACTATTTAGAGTAGCCTCAGCCATGTTTTTAAGATATATAGTTTAGGATTGTTAATTGAGCTAATGAGGATGAAATCTTGAGATGTAGGCTGCTGAGTTTTGGTAAAGCACAATCTGGATAAAAAAGAAGACTCAGACCTGTATATAGTATATGTATATGTCCCAAATCATGCACATTTCTTTTTTTATAGGAAGTGTAAAAAGATAATTACATTACTATATTATGATTGACTTATTTTTTTTAATGCAATGCCTTTTTACTTCACAGGAGCTCATAAAACGCTTGGAAAAAACTATGGAAGAGGAGAGGACAGCCTTTGAAGAGCAGCAAGCTACGGAAAGGAAAAGAGTAGAAGACCTTCGGCGCAGAGCGGCAACACGCATTCAGGCTGCAGTTCGAGGATTCCTGATACGCAGGGCGAGTGCTTTCTTACTTAGCCAGAGGAGAGAGGAGAGGAAGAAGAAGAAAGAGCTGCAGCTGCAGCTGGAGCAAGAGCGGAGGGAAAGGGAAGAGAAGTGCAGAAGAAAGCTAGAGGAGCAAAAATGCAGAGAAGAGGAAGAAAGGAAAAAGAAAGATGAGGCAGAGAGGCAGGCAAGAGTGGAGCAGGAGAAAAGACGCGCTGCTTACGAAAAGGCCAAGGAAGAAGAGCGTTTGCGATTGGAGGAGGAGCGGAAGCTGAAGTTAGAAGCTGCAAGGCAGGGAAAGAAAGAAGAGCTTAGGAAAAGGGAGGAATTGGAGAGAAAAATTAAACTGGATGAAGAAGACAAGCGGAAAAAAGAAGTAGAAGAGAAGAGGTCAGAGGAGCACAGAAACCAAGAAGAGATGGAGAAGAAAAGATTCCGTGAGTTCAAGAGGAGGAAGGAAGAGGTGCAAAATGCAGAACAAATCCAGGAACAAAATGTAGAACAAATCCTAGCAGAGAAACTAAAGGGATCACAATTTGGCGAATTTGATGAATTTGAAAATAAAGGAGATGGCACTAAACTTAACGACAAACTTAATGAAACATTACAAAATAATAGCACAGACTGCGAAAAAGTCAAGGATGATTCAGGTTTTTCGGATTATGATGTTGACAATAAAGATGCTTCAGTTCAGGAGATATCACTCCAAAGCAACAAGAAATCACTTAATTGTGCTAGTGAGGAGATGCCATGTCTAGAGGATAATGAGGATAAAACAAACATGGAAAATGCAAAGAAAAATGAAGGTCTGTCCCAGGAAGAGAGTGAGAAATGCCACAACATGGAGAAAGATCTAATTATGTCCTTTAGGCCAACAGGCTGTATCCCAGAACCTAAAGGTAATTATCATGGTGCTCCTGCTGTAGACATGTATTCTTTAACAAACCAGATGTGCCTTCCTGAGTGTACTGAGCAGAAAAGGCTAGCATGGATGAAGGCTTGTACTCCTTGGTCTAAAATTTCAATGCAAAATAAGAGAAAAGAGGTGGTGAAAAGGAAGGTGATAAGAAGAGGTTCAGCAGTTCAGCTGCCTGCCCTGAGTACAAACACTATCCTTCAGTCTGGTGACTGGATTTCCCTACAGCAGGTACTTGAAAACCTAATTTCTCCTGTCATTTATAAATCTTAAAATAAAATAATCCTTCACTGATACATTGTTTTTTTTTTACTTAGTGTTGTTTGTCCTCAATGAGCTTTTTTTTTCATGTCAGCCTTTTAGACATTTGGAGGAATCAATTAATGAAGTAAGCAGCAGTAGTACAATCATGAGTATTTGCTTCTTTTTTCATTGTGAATTTTAGGATTTGCATTATTGTCTCTCTTTTTAACGACAGAGTCTTGACATGAGACTTCATAAAGGAAAGCTGTAGTTTATTTAAACAAAGTACAGTAGCTGACAAAAATAATTCCATATTCAGAATAATGGTAATGTTAGAGAAAATACTTGTTTGTTGAATATTAAATTTGTCGTTTCTGTATAGTTTTGATTGACATGCACATTTTCTATTGTAGGTTACAGCAGTTACCCTTCAAGACTTACCGGGCTGTAGCCTTTCTACTCTGTCTGAATGTACTAAATTACAAATGCTGACAATGAAAAGATGTGGATTAAAAGCTTTAGAAGGTATCAGTGGGTGCAAAGATCTTAAGTATATTAATGTGCAGGTAACATTCAATTTTATTCCTTAATTGTAAAGTTTTTATCCTTTAAGTGACCTGAATATATTATTATGAATATTTTTTAACAAAATCAGTTTGATCAAAAAAAAACTTGATTCACAATTTTTGATGCTTTCAGCCTATATGACAACACGATTATTTCTTGATTTTGTTTTTCAAGGAAAATGCAATCCAGTACATTAACTGTCAGGGTATGGATAACCTTGATGTTCTTCTCCTGAATCATAATCAGCTTGCATCTATTCATGGTTTGGATGGAGCTGTTAATCTACATGCACTTGAACTGTCTCATAATCACATCACACGCATTTGTAAGAAGACATTTTTGTTATATTTTTAATTTTTTATTATTAGGTATTTTAAAATTTACTTAATAATCCATATTTAAAGTATATTTCCACTTCCTAGTAAAACCCTCTGAGAAGAAAGCAAGTATTTAAAAAGCTTAGGTAATTTAGTGATATTGTAAGTGTATATTACTTGTTGTGCAGTATAATCCTTTTAAGAAATACTGTATATCTATATTATTTTATTAAAATCGTATTATTATTATTTTATTATAAAGTTTTATTAAATGTATTAAAACCCCATTCTACCTGAATACTCCAAACTGATTAGACCTGTATTTAGAGCCTTTTTATAGGGAGATGATAAAAAAAGCCACAAATCCCTGTATTTCTTTCTCTCTCTAATTGGTCTCTAAGTAGTAGCGCAGACCAACACAGATTACTCTGAGGAATCTGTTACAGTGCCCATTTGTCTGTGTTTCCTTATTAATTTGTGTCTATTGCTACTTTTTTAAGGTGACATTCTGTCAGAAAATCTCTCCATCAGGACACACGCAAATAAAGAATATTGAGTGTCACGAAGGTCAAAAGCACACAATTAACACATAATTATGTTATTATATTATAAAACTATTGTAAATTTAAATCCTTTTAAAAGCAACATAGAATTAGTATTGACTGTAGATGTAATTTGGCAGGAAAGTAAGAACAGTAGGAGTACAGAACATAGAATTGACTAGCAGTTGCAGCCACTAGATGGCAGTATGGTATTGTGCAAACTAACAAAACTTTGAAAGTAATGTGAACAAATAATAATGATCACATTTACTTAAGAAAATAATAATTTCATTGTAATAGAGAATCACATGTGGCTTTAGTACTGTTTCTTATAACATTTAAGTAACAAGGTATTTATCATCATCTATTAGTAATTATGAATGAAGCAACAAACATTATGAGTAGTGATTTGCTTAGAAGAAAACGTAAACTGAAAATGGACTGAACATGAATGTTGTTACAGAACATACCTTTTGGTAAACAGTATTATTTTAGAGGATAACAAATACATAATATTTATATTATGCTCAATAAATCTTCATTTGACATTGATTAATTAAAATATTTGGTAACCTAGAATATTTTTTATTAAAAATGTTGGTTCCCTTGAACCTTTTTTTAATAAAATAGTATTTTGTTTTATTTAAATTTAGGAAACCAATTGAATCAAATCATTTTTGCAGTGTGTGATGTGGGGCTGTTGTTCTATAATGCAATAATTAACAATAATCAACACTTAATTAGGTAATTAACAAACGCATATTAGGTAATTACATGCATATGTAGTAAACTGTGAACTGTTTTGAAATTCATGTCAAAATGACATGAATTTGACAAACTGTCAAAAATTACCAGTCCAGAATTCAACTGCAGTGATTTATTCCCATTTATTTACACTAATTCCCTCAGCTGGTTCTATGCTAACGTATTGTTTTTTGTTTCATATTCTAGGTGGCTTAGAATCTTTAAAGAAACTCCAAAGGCTAGTGTTAAGTCATAATCAGTTAATCAGCACCAAAGGCCTGAAAGACACAGCCACTCTCTTGCACCTTGACTGTTCCTACAATCATCTTACAGAAATTGAAGGGATAGAAAATTGTGCTCTTCTCTGTACATTGAAGCTACAGGGAAATAATCTTACAGAGGTGATATTAACTTGACATGATAGCTCCTTTATTATGGAACAGTATTACATATGTATAGAAAATCATAGTTATTAAAGTACAAGCCAAAAAAGTACTTATTGATCCTTGGGTGATTTATGTTTTCATTTATTCCAGGTTTATTCTTAGTGTACATAATTGATGTGAAAGGATAAGATAAAAAGACATACACTTTGAGCTGATCACTTTTACTAATAACCTTATATTGAGAAATAATCTACCTTGCATTTCTTCATTTGAGTTGAAATTCAGTATGCTTTGATTTGTAACATGGTTGTTTGGTATTTAGATGTTACTGTATGTCTCAGAAGATTACTAAATATATCTGAATATACTATATATTCAGTGTAAATACTGTATATACATTTTATGAATATATACAGTGTAAAGTATGAAAGACAGATATGTAATGTATGCCTGCTTTTCTTAACATGTTCTAAAAACACCTACTGTATTTGAATGCTTTCATTTTTTATAGCCACCCAGTTTGGTAAACCACGTCTTGATGAAGGAGTTGTATATAGATGACAACAGCATCTCATCACTGGAAAGCTTATCAGCTTGCTGGCTTCCGCTTTTACAGGTCCTTTCATTATCACAAAACAGGTGAACCGCAAATATTTTTTCCTGTTTTTTTAGACATAATGAATTCTATTTGCTGTAAGTAGCAAAAGAGATATTGCTTCCACCCTCATTTTCAATTTCACATTTGCTCACTTTCTTTTTTACACATCTATTTAAACTAACTGTGTGTTTTTAAAGACAAGCCTTATCTTATGTATGCTCTTTTTAATGATGCTCATTTATTCTTTAGAAAGCACAAAACCTTCAGAGATCTTTACATTCTTGTTAACACTTTTATGTAATTGGGTGATGCAAATGTGTTTCTTCAGATGCTGTGGTGTGATATGGCATTTAAGAAACTTTAACACTGTTATTATTCTGTCATACCAATATACAGCATCTGATGTGTATAACTTAGGCAGTTCTCAGATTTTGATGCCCTATTCTACTTGCCGTTACATTAAATTAAAACTGTTTTAACTAAAGAGCCATTGCACATGTAATCTGCAGTACACGTTTTCTCCGTATCTTTTCTTAATAGAATATTTTGTCTTGAAAGAATAAGACAATTCTTCTGGTTATCTCTGGAGATGAGGGGTTATTGTGTTTCAGCTGACTATTACTTCTTTAAAAGAGCTTCATTTTCCAGATTCGATTTCTATGTAATTCCATTATTGAGATAAAATAATATTATAAATGCACAGGTACTCAGATGCAATTTTTTATCTACCATGTAAGATCTAATCTTGCTATTTTTACCAAAATGTTATAATTCTGTGGCTGGTTTCATTACTTTTGAATGAAGCAAACTTGTTCCAATTTCTACCAATTTAGAGAGAAGTCTTGATAGTATTAGCAATGTTTTCAGTTTGAAATGTATTCACAGTATGAATGTATAATTATACTGTATATTGTATGTGAAGTTTAATTCTATAATTTCTCAAATGTATGTATGTTCTTACATTACTTATAGCTTGACCCATATACCTCCACTGCTCGACTTCTTGTCTTTAAAAGAGCTTGATGTGAGTTGTAACTGCATATCAGGTATGTTTATTTCTGTTGATGTAAAAAAACACACCTTTCTAGATATCTCTAAAATGATTTTAAATAGGTGTAAAATACATTTACCTCATGTATTTATAATCAAAGTTAACTTTCAGTTTGAGTAAATATTTTAGTAAATAAAATCAATACAATCAGTACCACAATTGGTGCACAAGCAAACATTTAGTACAGAATTTAAGAATATAAACAGATCAATTACAAATCGACCCACATGTATTGTAGACTCTTGTTGATACCATACCTCTCTATTTTCAGAGCTGAGAGATGTTCATTTGTCCCTTGAAGGCTCCACAAATCTCAGGGAGCTTAATTTGACTGGAAATCCTGTTCAACAAGAAACTAATTGGAGGTAAAGCTTTTTTTTTTAAAAAAGACTGAATTAGCATTCCTTAAAGCGTTTTCAAGGCACACATCAATCTCCAATTAATCAGCAGTGCTCTATTTCACTGTTCACAAAAAGCAATACTAAAGAAATAAAACTATAGTACTAATTGTTATTTACCAGTTAAAATATACATAAATATAACAAATTAATTGTTAATATATGAGTATTTAAAATATGCCTTGTTAGTTTAAATACTGTATGTAGCTTAATATCAGTGTGTCAAAGGACAGGCTAGTTATATTTCTTTACCCCTTGTTGCTGAAGGAATGACACAAATAATTACAGTGGCATAAACACCTACTATTGTTTATATTATTGTCTGTTTTCTAGAGTTTTCTGTGTTGCAGACGTTTGTAAAGTTAGATGACAAGATTTTTAATTAACATAAATTAAAGTTACATATTGCCACAGTCTCAATGTAAGAAATCTATAATATATAATAATACTGTATTTCATCAGTGTCCCATTTTAAAAACTTCTATAGTGTATCTTAGTAGACTCTTTTTTATACTAATTTAATTATTATTTTTTTAACATTTACTTAGGTCACAATGTGCTAATTTCCCAAAAGCAGCAAAAAGTATAACTATGCTCCCACCTAACGTTTTACAGTGCATACTCCTTGTAAATAGCCTATACTGTTTGCAACATGCCTCATATAAGACAAAAGCACAATGAGATTCAGAAACAGCTGAAGATGTTTCTTCATAACAATGCAATTATACTATGTGCCTTGTACATAGTATAACTGTATCATAACACACATCTTGTGTATAATATTCATAATATGAATATTCATAATATTCATAAACACACTTAAAGAATCTAAAATGTGTCAGTTAAAATAAAAATTTGATTCAGGTGTTACAGTATCTAGCTTCTAATGTTTCCCAAAGTGTGACTGAACCCCGGAGTACCTGAGAGTCAGTGGTAGTAAACAACAGCATGTTAACCTATGGATTTAATATCTTCTTAAAGACTTATTATGTATTCTTTGCTGATATCATATATAATTTTTTCAGACGTCAAACAGGCATACATTTGTATTTTAACCAGAATGTGCTGACAAACATTCTGTAGTAGATTTATTTTTTCCATTTGTCATACAGTAAACAGGGCTTGGTTTGAGCTTCTATAGGCTACACACAACAAGATAAGTGAAATAATTTCTAATACTGTAGGTGTAACTAGCTATCCAGTATATCAGTTATTAAATATAGATCTATAAATAAATCTGCAGTTGTTTATTTCTCAAAATTTAAAAACCACTTTGTAGTTCACAAGAGTTAAATAAATGGATTAGGCTTGGAAGACACACAAAACATTCCAGGTTAGTATAGAGTTTCTTTTACATTTTACACATCTGTGGCTTATATGATATAATGTAAGTATACCTGTAGTTTATACGTATGATTGTATATCTAGTTTTGTAATTCTTTTAAAACATTAAGTTCTAAATTCCATGTGGAATTCAGCTTTGCTTAAGTACCAACATATAACCTTATATCTCACATAGGTTGAAAGTCTTTTTGAAAACCAAGTTACCATATTCTGTGAAATAAAAAAAAAAAATTATAATAAGCATTCTAAGGGGTAAAAGATATGAAATATGAAATAGAAATGGCAATACTATCGGCACACTTGTCAGAATAGCACACTTGTGCCACAAGGGGGTGTATGAATCGCATTCTTAATTATTGTTTCACATTCATTTCTATCATTTGTATCCAAAAGCCTTCTCCAGCACAAAATAAGCATTTTATTTAGTTTTCAAAGAGTGAATATTACCAAAGAGAAGCTCAAGCACTTCAGATACATGTCATTTTCCTATAACAAATCTTTCCATACTTAAACAATAAAGGGGTGTGTACTATTTTGTTCTGGGTTTATACCTTATTCACAAAAAAAAATATATATACTATAACTATTTTCTAAAAATGTTAAATGGCGTTTTATGAACGTTGAAAATAGTGAGATGATGTTGAAAAATATGTTTTCTGACTACAGTTTATTGCAATATAATTTAGTCATCAAAACCTTTAAGTTTAAAACACATATTAGAGTAACAATTAAACACAATTATTTTGAAAAAAATATCTGATCATATGTTCCTCTGTCATATGTTTTTCGGCACAGGCAGTTGTTAAAACAGATGCCCATAAATTCGAAAAGAACCGTACTGATAAAATGTATACTTAAAATCTTAGTATAAATATTTTTTTTAATTATCTAGCTTGTGTATATGATTGTATTCTAATGTAAAGATGTTGACAATTTTATCTTCTTTGCATTAATGGTCAGCAACCCCACCTTCTCAACAAGTTTTTCCAGATTCAGTTGAGCAATGTATGATATTCATAATATCACTTTATTAAGGCCAAATATTTTTAGCATTGGTATTTTAAGTTCTTTTTGTCACATTCATATGAAGTGATATAAAAATACTTAGCTGATATATAACATCTCAGTACCAGCAAATATTTAAAAAAATGATTCTTTTTTCTTATGGAATGATATTAATCGATTTTGATATTTTGAATATTTAGCCTTACAGAAAGTAAAAAAAGAAAGCATTACAGTCTTAAAATTAACTGATTAACTTTGTGCCTTTTAAGGACGTTTGCTTTTTGGGAATGTTATAATAATTTTCAATAAACTGTGCTAGAAAAACTGTTTCATGTTTCTATAACTTCCATGAAGACTCTTATTTAGTTGCGTGTATCAGCACTGTCAGATAAGGAAGTTAGATACTGCTGTTGTTTTTATCTCCATTACATTACTTATAACCCTTTCAAGGCAACTTGGCTAATGCTAAGTCCTGCAAACAAACTGAAATATTTGTTGGTTTTACACAGGGATTTTTTTTTAGGTTCCACCATTGACTGAAACTTAGGCCAAATGTTATATTGAACTTTGCGTAACCCTTAATGCCAACAATGGAATTAGCTATAGTCTTTCCCGAGTCGCCCAACACTTTCATCTCTGGCCAGTGATAACACCAGCTAAATTAAAGCACTAAAGAATATTGCGAAGAATTATATTTTAAGAGCAGTCTGAGCTCATGAAAAGGAGTGCATTTCACTTTTGTGATGATTAATTGATCCTTTTTAAGCAACAGTGTTTTCAAGGAAGTTTTTACTAAATGAAATACAGTTTCAGTCCTTCTCAAAGAAGGCCACAGCTGGAAATGCTACAACCTAGATCATTCTACTTCAAGATACTTTCAAGTTGAATTAATGAATGCCCCCAAACAATTTGTTTTTCTTACTGTACTCTGCATGTACAACTATTAATGATATGTACTGTATGCTCACACCGTAATATTTTTCTTATCTTTTTACTTACATTTCAACTGAAGCTAAGGGATACAAACAGTAATTTGTGGAGTTTAATAATAATCTGCAAATGAATTTACTGTCCAAAAAATTAATGCGCGAAAACAGGAACTTTTAATTTGTCTCAGCATTGGCATACGTGATCACTGTGCCTGCTAAATAATGTACGTCAGCTACACAAACAGTTATTGTATGATACAAATTACAAGAACAACAAAATGACAAAGGATTATTATATTATATTATTATATGCACATTTTATTCACATAAATATGTTTATATGGTTGGGCATATAAATAATATTTATATATGTATATAAATATTATATCTTTATAGATATATTATTTAATCCATATGTATTCCAGGCTGTAAGATTTAAAGTTATTTTGGATGTATTAAGCATATTTTTTGGCCCCAAATCACCAAAATACAAAACAAAGAAAAGGCAATTTTTTATTTCACTTGTCTTCTCACAAAATAATTTACAGTGTTTGACAATATATTAATTTGTTTTTATTCTGTACATTTTAACAACACAATATAAATGAATACAATTTATAAGAAATGTCTTACTATTTGGTTTTAATATATGAAATAAATACTGGGCAATACCATCTTGGCTTGATTGTGTTTCTTATAGAGATTTTTTAGATTCCATCTAAAAGCATGTCCTTAGCCCAGGGCATGGGGTACATGTCATAATATCCTACAGCTGAACTTTCGGTTTACATCAAGGCAACCAATAGCTGCTCAGATTTAATCACTTAAGTTTAAGTCGTAACATTTTGAAACAAATAATGCTTGACTGGCAACCTAGAGTCCAGGCATGAATTGAAGCCCAAATACCCCTTTAGCCTTTAATCTACACTCCATGTCATCACATACTTCCTTCATGAGAGCATCAAGCAAAAATGAAATCTTTTGTTCTGTATTGACAGCAATCTTGTTGACTTTCTGGGGTCCTTAATGTCAAACTTGGTACATATTTTATCCACATTTTTAAGTGGTTTCATCTGCTCAAAGTAAACATTTTCAAAACTAAAAAAAAAGAAAAAAGTAAATGAGTGGTTGTAGGGATCACTTGTCTTGCTGTGACACATTGTGAACCTGAACATTTCAGACACTTTAATACCATACGTGTGATGCATTTGGACAACGACTCCTAGATATTCAGAATGGTATGAATAACATGCATTAGAATAGCTAGAGTTGTAGGATAAATTAATTTGAATGTTTTTTAAAAGCTAGGTATATCACTAATTGATGTCTTAAAAGAATAAACCATGCAGTGATCAGGCAGAGTATGTTTTAATCAATATTATTAAGAGGCTTAAATCATGGACATGAAATATGGAACCATGCAAATATATCATATTCAAAGGAAAAAAGGAGAGTAATTATCAGCTGTTTTTGAAACCCATTAGCCTATGTTGACAAGTTGCATTGCAAGTGTGCGGATGCTGTTAGAATATATTTGTATACTGTACATCAGACCTGAAATATGCAATCCAAGCCTCCCATCCCAGATTAATAAACATTTATTTTTTTTAATGTTAAGTTAATACATTTTGGCTCTCATATCATTTAATCATTTGTAAAAAATATACGTGGGACATGCATTACATTGCATATGGTCTTGTGGTATTAAAATCCCTCACCTCTGTAAGTTATTTACACCCAATGTGTCCACTGTCAGCTCAAACAAATGCAACAAATGACATGGTATGTATTGGTATTGGTAAAGCTGTAAGTATGTTGTAAGTCTGATATTTGTGTTGCTATAACAGAGATGACCACTAGTTTCCAATACTGGTCAGCACATTGGTAGATCTCATAGATCCCAGCATACCATATCCATTAGTGACATCATACTCAAGCCGGTTTAAGTGGTTAAAAATGTGCAATAATAATGTTCTGTGGATACTACACAGCCATTGTTTACTTGTTCCCTCTACTCTGGGAAAGAGTTTAAATTTGGAGAAAAAAAATGTTTACAAAAGGTATGCGTAACTGTTCTCACCTATAAGTGTACCATTTTTAATGCTTCAGTGCACATGCCATGAATGTTTGGAGGCCCAGTTTTAAAGTGGAACCACAAAGATCAGTCTAAAATGATCTGACAAATTAAATGCACATTGTAATGTAGGTTAACTCTAAATGTATGACTGATAACTATAATACAGTTATCAACTGTAATATGTAGTAACTGTAATATGATAACTACAGTGCAATAACAATTTAATGCCGCAAATGCATTCTTCATTTTTTTCCTGACTTAAAGATCTATAAATATACAAACCCAATATACTGAAACCCTTACCAGTGCAAAAAAGTGGATCAGGACTGAAAGTGAATATGTAGATGGATCAGAATATAACAGTACATTTATAAATATCCTATTTTAGAATCTATTAGAATTGAAACATTGAAATTGAAAGATTAATTCCCCGTTCTTCAGTTTTTATTAGTAAGCGACTACACATATACGTTTATTAAAAATTTAAAAAATTTAAAATGCAGTTCCTCAGTTCTGTCCTTAGATGGTAACCGTCTATAAAAAGTTCTAAATGCCTTTCATTCATTGTCTACTTTACACCTGAAAAGAGAGTTAAATTAATTTAATTAAGCAAATAATTAGTCAATTGGCCAAATTAAGAGCTTATGTGGGATAAAACCAGAGCACTGAATGGCCCTTGGAACCTAGAGCTCGCTAACATTGACACTGATCCAGAGTTCACATAAGGGTAAGACGTTTGTGTTCAAAAAGTGTATGCAAAGGGTGTGATCACAATGAAGTAAAAACACTGGGAAGAAAATGTAATGCATGATCTAATCTTACTGTAACCTTGCTGGATACATAGTATTTAATTTTTAGTAAACAATTGTAATATATAACAGTGTACCTCTGTTAGATTTCCCTGTTTCTTTGTCATAAAATAAGTATGATGGTTTATACGTTTTTTATAGCAAATGAAAACCAAGAATCTTCAACTTTCACTCTTCTGCTTTTCAGGTCTTCTTTGCAAAAGATGTTACCTGGCTTAAAGAAGATTAATGGGGAGCCTATCAGTTCTACACAAGTATATCTCACAGACAGAAGCGCTAGACCACCGCCAGGGAGCTTCTTGGCACTTTGTCAAGCACAGCTTAAGCAGCTAGAGCTCCTGCTCAAGAGACATGATAGGGAACTTCAGTAAGTATTATTCTTTAGATTCTACCTGCCTTGTTGTCTTCAAAGTTTAATCAGGCTGGACCTCAGCAAATGAGCTAGTACTGTACCTCACAAGATGTGTACTTGCTCCAGGCTTTACTCCATCTTGACTAGAAACCAACAGGAAATGCTGCCTTTGGCTGTCTTTACAGAGAAGTCATCCAGTGAGACCTGGCAGAGGTTGTGAGAGCTAAGCTATGGGTTTTGTTGTTTGGCGCATACACTGATTATTTTTACCAAGTGACCTGGCTTTTTAGAAATGTTTAAATCCTTCTTAAATTGTATTTCTTCATTACTGTATATGTGGATTTCTGTGGTAACATGAAGTGGTGAGAGAAACAGGAAAATAATTGTGATGGAAAGGGTAAAATCACAGATTACATTAAGTGAGAGAAAGAACCAAAGTTGACCAAATGGTACATTTTGAATCAGTTAGAGCATGTTTCGCAATGTTAAGATACTTTTCCAAAATAAATAACACTTCATATGATAAACATATAATAGTGGCATGGTGGTGCTTTGGTAAGTGTTGCTTCCTCACAATTTCAATATCTGGGGTGCTACAGTATACTGTATGTGTGGAGTTTGTATGTTCTCCCTGTGTTTGCATGTATTTTTTGTTTCTTTCCGCAGTCCAAAGGTAGAATAGTTGGCTCCTGGGAAGTTTGGCTTGGTGTGAGTGTGTGCCCTGTGATGAACTGGTATCTTGTCCAGGGTATATCCCAGAATAGACTGGGATATGGAATCCTCCACAGAATTGCTCCTCCGCAACCCTGTTTTGGATAAAGGGGTTAGAAAATAATAGATGGATAATTAAACAGTATAAATAATGTTAAAGTTTACTGTAATTTCAGATTCTTTTTAACTTAAGAAATGGTTACATAAGGCTTCCCAAGTGGCTCAGTCGGTAAAAGTGTTCACCCAAGTGCACGTTAGGCTCTATGCTCATGGGTCTGAGCTGGCATCAAGTCACTAGCTGATTGGGATGTATGGTGAACAGTGGACTGAGTGCCTCTGAGGGTGAAGTAGCATTAGTCAGCGAGGTTTCTCAGCAATACTGAGGCCTCTTGAGCACTTGCAGGCATGCAGTGCTGTCAGTGAGGGATGTGTCTTTTCCCCGGTCATTGTTGAACCTCTTGTACGACTATGTTACTTGTGATGTGTTAAAAGAAAAATGGTTGGACATGTCTGCATGCACTTACTCATTCTCCCCCTGTGTACAATCATGAGGTTCTTAGCTACAAACTGAGATGTACTGTAAAGAACAAAATGTTTTATTCTAGAAATCAGGTGGATATAACAAAAATAATAGACAATTCTAAAAAAAAAGAAATATTAAATAATTTTTTGTGGTGCCTTACAGATATAGACTACAAAGCAATACAATTATTATTATCCTTAACCAAGGCAGTCAAACCTTTGAATCTTTATAGACCACCTACAAGTAAACTAAAGGTTCTTATGCAGTTATGACATTTTGCCTTAATCCCTCTGACCTTTGTAAATTATGCTTTGGAAAAGATGAAAAGCAGTTGAGCCTCCACAGCAGTTCAATTTGGGGTCTCTCATGACAAGAGCACTACAATTGTTTCAGTTTAAGCTGCTTTGTGCAATTTTTTTTTCATTGGTGTGGGCAATGGTGCTTTTGGGTTTAGGTTCAGGCCACCATAACCAATTTATGACCTGACCCGATGTCAGACTATGGCTTACAAAGGTGAAAAGTCTGCCTCAAGAGCACTGTGCTATAATGATCTAAAGTAGACTGCATAGCTGTAGTACTACCAGATATTTAAACTGAAGCAGTGTCAATAACCAATGCTTAATATTATAAGGATGTTTTATGATTCGATCGTTTTCTCTCATCCTATGTCTGTACTGTAAGTTCAGTTCCCTTCATGATTAGTTTTATCTTGCAAACAGCATTATTCTTTAAATAATTAAGGAATAAAAACTTCCACTTTCATTTAATTTGTTATATTTTACTGTTTTATTTTTTTCCTTTAAAATATATTTTTAGTGGTGTATTTCTGGAATAGCTGTCAGTCTGGACTCCTATAAAAGTATTTTTATATGGCATAATTTTCTGCTGTTTGTAAATTTTGCTCATTTCCATCCATTTATTCAGACAGCACTTATATTGTATCATTATAAATGACAAATCTTTAAATATGAATTACAACTATGTTTGCTATGTGTGGAATAATACACTTGATTAATTTTAATAGTAATGGGGATGAAAACCAAGCCAAATCTCCATTTAATTTTGCTACTATGGTATTTAAGCAATCTACTACTGTGCTACTATGGTATTTAGCATGTTTTAAAAACATGCTACAAGATAATGATAAACATAGTAAATGATTTTGACCTTCTGTTGAACAAGCAGGTATATGGGTGATGATTACTGTGGGATGGTGTCTGAGATACTCTTTCAGAGGATTTGAATAGGAGCAGCATTATTAAGAACTTAAAGATTTTTGACCCATGCTACCTAGGTCAGCTCAGTTGACCTAAATTGTAGTAGAGATTACTACAAAGGTCGGTTGGCAGTGTTAGGAATCTCACCATTGCTAATAGAATAATTTGTCATTTAGCAGTCTTTTACTGTTTTGTACTGGGCTTGAAAGGAAACATTGTAAAAAAATACTAATGTGTTTTAGGGATACACAGTGTGCCCAAAATAAACTCTATTGATCACACTCTTTTTATAATATATTAATATATATACAACTTGTAATAATCAATAGTTGTGTTTTGCTGTTTGTTTCAGACCTCCATTTTAACTGATTTAAAATGATGTGATAGAGTAGTAGGTATAAAGACTTTTTAAGCCAATTACTTGTTCTACTCAACAATTGTTCATTACTTTTTGATAGCCAAACTACTTATGTTTCTACTGAATTAAGAATAAATAAATGCATAAAGTTAACATTAATTTTGTTGTGGTAGTTATCATTGAAACTGCTTTCATCTTTTCATAAAAAGTCACTTAATCCATTAATAATTAAATTAGTAAAATGATAATTTAATGAAAATAATTCAGTTTTATAATGTCTTATTTAGAAGTATTCTCAGCCCTCTGGATGCCCCAATGATTAGAAGTCAGCAAAGCGATGAACTGATTACACTAGCTGAGGAACACAGATATGCTCATGAATATGGAGATCTGAGTGTCAACGATGGAGATGAACCAGAAACTCAAAGCAACCTTTTGATGCAAGAAGGCAGTGACAGGCATCAGCACAATTTCCCTTTTATCAGCAAAGCCAAGGAAAATAACCAGGTCTCAAAAGATCCTTCTACAAGATGGATCACTGCAAGCCAAGTTCAGCCTACAGTCAACTGCTGCACAGTCAGCCAAGAAGAGGGAAATCAGGAAGGCCAAATATCAGGAGTGAATGCAGAAATTTCTTCACTTAGAATTGGAGAAAGTAAGAGAAGAATGGTCAATGACAAAAGGGAGAGAAGTGACACTGCTGTGTCCTGCCAACACATTGAAATAGCTCACGGCCCTTCAAGACTGCTCAGAAAAAACATCCATCACTGTCAATACAAAGACATTAAAATGTAATGTTGGGATTTTTTTTTCAAATATAATCCATCTTTTTAGTTTGATTTTTAAACTTAATGTCATATTACATGGTTTTGATTTGTTTGTGTTACACAGGGCAGATTAGATTTATTCATCCCTTGACTAACAGACCTAGCCTTTTCAAGAGTGAAGGATGCATATATACAGTACAGTATATAGTAGTAGTTCTGGTGGGTAGCTGCGTCAGCATGAATAGTCATGGCCTTCTCTTCACAGCTGAAATGTTGTGTATAGTAATATCCTTATTGATTTGATTCATATCAGAATCTGCTGTATTCAACAAACTAACCTACATAGGTGCATTGCATATTTGGTCCTAGACTAGTTATCTAAGCATCTGTTGTTAAAATGAGTTAAAATATGTTTTTGTGAACAATTTGCATTTGTGAAATAATGCACAATATAAGGGCCCTAATATTACAGTTCTGTTCTCAACAGCATTGCAGCAGTTGTTATCCAGAGTCATTGGCGGGGACACTTATGCCGCAGAAATATTAGATTGCTCCTTGCACAACAAGCTGCTGCCTTGGTGATACAGTCAGCTTGGAGGAAATACTCTATTTGCAGGAATAACTGGAACAAAGACAGCTCTTCACATACCTGTATTTCAAAGGACATATGCTTGGATATTATGGAAAGGGCAGCTATTGTCATTCAGGTAGGCAAATCTTAATCAGCATGTATTGTTTCTGTTTAATTCACAAAACGTTTATGACATAATAAAATGTATATTACTTATATACGACAGAAAAAAAATTTATATCATATATCCTATACAGTTTATTTCAGTTCCAATGAATCTATGTACATAAATGCTTTTAGTCTAGTGTTTAAAGTGCATTTGTTTTTGTTTCTTTTCATTTCAATTTGTCCATGTTTTGCTTAATGCAAATCCTGTATGTTCAGTATCTTTGGCTCACTTGGCTAACAGTTTATTTAATTTGAAACAATCACACCATATTATCATTTACTTTAACATGTGTTAATCACTGTTCTGTGTTGATGCTGTAATAAAGCAGTACAATGTAGCCAAATCTGCACTATCATACCATATACAGTACATTTAACCACATTAATGGTGATACTCATTAACACAAGACTTGTGTATTCTTGTGTACTTCATGCCTATTGGAAAACATGTAACTTGATTTTTAACTTTTGCTCACATTTCTTTCTTCTTTTACTTAATAGGCCCTTAAGGATTTGAAAAATAATTAATTAGATGGACCGGTTTTGGAGTAGTGGGAGCTATAAGATTCCATTCTACTTACTTGTGAAACCATTCCATGGGGAATTTGAAGATTTAGAAGCATTCTGGCATTCCATTTGTCTTGTAACTTTAAATGTCAGACAAAGTTCAGAAAACAGATCACTCAGCAATTATACTGAGGTTAACATGTTTTATCTTCCTAATGGGATAACATATAATATTTACATATGAATCTGATCTATAACTTTTTATTTTACCTTTAGGCCACTTGGAAGGGTTATGTTTTGAGGAAGAAGTTGGCTTCTGCCCTTGCTGCTGTTAAAACCAATGAAGTGGATGATGATTTTGAAGAAGTAAATATGGAGGATTTTGCATTTGATGAGGTATGTGTCTTTTTCACTTGATCTGTTGCCTGTGAAAGGTGAATTACAATATATTGATAATCTGTTTCTTTTGCAGTCCATCTATTCATGGTTCACACAAACCTACATTTTAAAGGGAATGTGTACATGCTTTTTGTTACTAATTTTTCAATTCTATTTTCCCAAACACATGAAAACAGTATAAAAATAAAAGCAACCTGTCTCAAATCCACAAGAATCCCTCTTAACTATTCCATTTTGGGGTATTCCTCTCTACATTTCTACCTAAGGGCCTTTAAAATACAAACAGCTATAAGCTGCTGGAACCCCAAAGCAATAGAGCTTGAACAGCATTAGCAGCAGCATTCCAAGCCTCCGCTGTCTTTCCACTGGTACCACAGATCCTAGGAGCTGAAAGTTTCATATAAATAATATCAAAACAGGACCAGGATCTACTGGCACCCAGGTGGATGCATAGGCTCCCAACACAGTCCCAAGAGTAATTTTGTTGAATATTTGATTAGTATTGTTCCTTGAGATAACATATTTCTGAGCCAAAATTATTGGACTAAGAATCTGTATAAATAGCTATTCAAACACATTTATTTAAAGCAAAAATACAGAAAGTAATGCAAATCATATGACTGAAGGAAATCTATGTGTGAGAAAAGTTGCCAGGACAATAACATGTTCTGCTTAAACAGTAGGGCAGTCCAAAGAAACTAGGAACCTATTTTTTTCAAGTACATAATTATCATGGAAAGTATTTGAAGGCAAAGGATCAACGCACTGGACAGGACCATCACTTATGTCTGATCTATCTCCATAATTGTGGTCACACTGTAGTAGCTACTGCATGAGAAATTGCTAGATAAAATAAGTCAGGCTTCAATGCTCAAGGTTCATTCAGAGGTAATATTAACAGCTAAGAGATGCCCTCAGTTTACCAGAGTTTTATTCACTGATAAATGCCATTTTGTATTTGACAAATGTGGCGATCCTGTTATGAGCATTACTAGCAAAGGCACTGTTTATTGTATTGGAAGCAATTCCTTTAACATAATAATACCTTTGGTACATATTGAGGGTCAACTTGGTGCTGAGCAATGTTTTGAAAAGTTTTTTGAGCTGCCAGTTCATGCAAGTCAACCAAGCCATTTTCCAGAAGGACAATTCAAGATCACGGAATGCTACTGTAGGTTTACAGTAGAATGACCTTAGGAAAGTTGTAGTCAGTTCTCTCTTATGGACTGAGTCCAGTATAAAATCAATGGAATCACCAATTCCACCATCAGTAGACAACTAAAACAGACTAACTTTTGCCAGCTACTGTAGTTGCAACTACATAGGAAGAGAGAACATCTCACAGAAAATGTCTGTCAATGGGCTGATCAGGACGTTGTATCAATGTTGCCAGGGTTGGTTTATGTTTTTATTTTGACACTGTGTCAAGTTTCATAATCAACATATCATGATTCTTTGATCTGTATTGTTTTTTTTAATCCAAAATATGCAATTTTATCAAATGAACCATTTGTTAATTCAAATTGTAATGAACTAATATAACACTTTATTTTCTGAATGAGGTTGAGCCACCAAACCTGAAATAGAGATATAAGGAGTGAATCTTACTGATTATATATATATATCCAGTCTCCTAAGTCATTTCTTAGAGGAAACACTTTTTGTAGCAATTAGTCTTTATAGACAGGTCACTACCAGCTTTGTACTGAGAGATGATTTGGACTGTGGGACCCCTGGAAGAAGTCCCTTAGTTTCTTCTGGATCGTTGATGAGTCACAACTTTAAAGTCTCACTATAAATCTTCTATTAGTTTGAACTTCGACCAGGTCACTCAACGACATATCCCTCTTGCGTTTCTTCCATACAGGAAGGGTATGTGTTGGAAACAGGATATTGTACAGTGTATGAATGACTCCCAGTCAAAGTCACAGTGGCATCCCTAACTATTTTCCTGGTTGCCCCTCTGCTCAGTTCAGAAGGGCAGCCTGATCTACAGTAGGGTACATCTGGGTACCATGATACATATTCCTCTTTTTAATGATTGATGTCATTGTAATTAAATGGAGAAGTTACCTTCTTCAGATTTATTTCACTTTATCCATAGTGTGTTCTGAAAGCTTCTTTATACAGTATGTCTTTTTACTGTGTCTGTGGTGACTTGAAATGTGGTATTATCACACTGTATGCAATGTGTGTTGGTTTTCCTTTCTCTTGCCCCTTTTAATATATCTTTTTAAATATAGTGTCCTATTTAAAAGTGTAATAAATGTAATTTGAAACAACAAAATATGAAAAGTTTTAGGGGTTGAATGATTTTGCAAGACATCATATATGTGTGTAAAACTTTTCAGAAAATCCATTTCACCTGAGTGTTGCATATCCCTTTATGAATTGTGCTTCACATGAACCCTTCCTTTCACCCTATCATGATTCTTGCAGCTGCTTCTTGTCCCTAGTGCGGGGGGGTTAGAGCCTTGTCCTAACAGGCAGGCTGTCATTCCCTCAACCAAGTGGGTTAAGCCAATAAATTAGTTTCTTCTCTACTTTTAATTTTTATTGGGAGTCGCCAGAAGTACTGAATTTAGTGATTACATTTATTTTGATTCATGGGACTTTTTTCACTTCTCCTTCCCTCAGTGTATGACTTCTTTAAACAGGTACAGTGTACCCCACACCATCAATCATTGTGTTTATTCCACAGGGGTCTGATATTGTAGCTCTGTGTACTCCTATAAAGCAAAATTAAGTGAACTTTCTTAAGTTGTACAGTAAATCTTGTGGTAATACTAAATATCATGTCAGTTTCAGATCACTGAAATTTTAAAGTTGCTAAAAAAATCAAAGGGTTTCAAAGGGTAGCCATCTATCAATTGGATATTGCTAAGTAAGGAATATGACACCTTATCTCTGCCCCACTTCTGAGGGGATATAGGACCGGCAAGTTTCCTGCTCTTTGTTTTTTGTTTACATATACAGTAGTTGGTATGTGGCTGAGCTTATATTTATTTCTTATGTTTACCTCTGTTATCATTACTATAACATCATAAGTATCATAAGAACTTTAGCACACAATTTATGCAAATATGTTACACAAAAATATAAAACTAAAGTATATGGATTTTGGATATTGATTAAATGCTTTTGACATATTTTTGATTAATCATTCATGACTCACCGTGATACACTCAAGTGTCTATTGCAAAAGCTCTATATCACTTAGTGATTTAACCTGTTGAATGTCAAGCCTGGTTAAAATCAAGAAAGAAAAACATAGAAACCAATATAACCCACTTAAAAAGGAGAACAGCACATTCATGCATTTGGTATGTTGGAGGCTGGGTTCACATTGGGTGGACTTGCCAGCAGGGGAGCCAAGTCCCCTTGGAATGAATAAATCAATGTGTTTTTTTTTTTTAGACCACCCTGATGGAAATCAGAGAATATAGAGCAGACATGCAGAATGATATGCTAATTGCTGTGCCAGACCAATGGGTGGGAAGGTTGACGTGTGATTGCCTGAGCAGGAGTGTCTAGTCACCAAAGAACTCCACTTATAGTGACTGATAGCAACCTGACTACATGGCAGTCCACATTGGTCATTTCCCTTGACCTCACTTGCTGTCCTTTCCACATGTCTATTTTGACATAACAATGATGCAGCAGGACAATGCATTTTATGCTGCTTGTGTAACAGCAGCTTTCATGTGAGAAAAGCTCCATTCTCACAATAGGCCCTATTCACCACCTGATCCCCATTGATGAGCTAAAGAGACATGCGGTACAGTATATGTAGTGCAGAGAATAGTGAACAGTCACTTTCAGTATTTGTGTTAACTAGACGAGTGAGGTAAAATCCCAAGGGACTACATCTTGCCTCCAGCTGTAGCTACATACTATTGGTGTAAGTATTTCACAGTAGGGACCATTTTAATGGCAATTGTTAATCAGTTTAAATTAATAAATGTACTTTTTTCACGTTCAATAAAATGTCACTGCACTTGCAGAATTCATTTACCCCTGCTTATATATTACAGATATCTTTTGTTTTATGTCATGCTCTTTTGATGTGTGTTGGTTTTCCTTTCTCTTGCCCTTTTTAATTACATCAAGGATCATAAGATTCCTGTCCACTTGTTTGCTTTGGGATTTATAAACAATGAGATTTGTTTCTCTAAAGTTAAGAACTGAGCACATCTTATTCCTGTTTCTGTTGCATTCCTTTACTTTATGAATTGGGTTGCTTAATCATCATTATATTTGATGATACAATAATTCATTTTATCTAGTGATTTTAAACACTTAAAATCTGATGGAAGGTATACACCCAAATCTTAGCTCAACTATTCTTGTTTCTTAATAACCTGTATTAGAACTATGCAAGAGATTTGAAACCATAAGTGAATACACATCATAATACCTATATACCTATACAGCTGTAGTGTATAGTGCATTAATAAAGTCCCCTTATCTGTTAGAGACATCTTATAATTGATGCTCAGGCATGCATGTTCTGGCGCAAATATGCCTACATTTCTCATGGTCTACTATGTGACAGCATTGGTATTGGCTGGTGGCATCACTTCAAAATGAAAGGGAACATTGGGCTGCAGCTATAACCCTGGTTCCCTGAAAGGAAGGACCAGCTGCCAGGCTCTTTGGGTTTCTTGGGGGCTATTACACAGTGTCTTTCAACAAAAGAGGAAGAGAAGGAGGCACTTGTCTCATCTTATAGCCTCATATCCCATGAAGATAAAAAAATGCACCTCATATAACTCCCCCAGGGGTGGCAACATCCCACTGCCAATTACTGTTCACATTCAGGGTACCAAGGTTAACAGAGTAAGCTAATACTCCTTTTCACATTTTCAGATTTCCAGCATTCCATCTTCAATGTATTAAAACATCATTGACTACTATCATTATCTTAGAATGCAATCAGTTTCTCTAAGTTACTTATAATATTTTTACGTACAGTATATTTCCAGACTCTCATCCATAAATACATAGTTAAATTAATTTTCAGACTCCTAGCTGGAAATCTGTATAGTTATATTTTAATTTTTAACCCCAGATAGGCAAACCCTTTTTTAAACTACAAATATAACATTACCTACATCAGTTACATAGCTAAATTGTTATTTGTTTGATTTCTTCCATATTTTGTTTGAAATTAGCACGACATATGACTCTGTGAACATTTGTATTTTTTTCCATAAATGTTTTTAACAAGCACAATTAGATGATTAACTGTATGGCTCTTGTATTCTCTTTTAGCATAGCAGATAAGTCTTTTTAAAAGAAGTTTTAGTTTTTTGAATGTGTATCTGGTAGAACATTAACATGTCATCTCCAATGCGAGGTTTGCTTTCCATGAGGAAGCAGATATGAAACAGCCTTTTATGTTGAATGTCAGAGTAGTATGACACTGAAAAAGCATGTCTATCGGATTACCTTTGTTCTAAAATTATTTTTCCGTGCTTTGAAGTATGAATGGTTAAGTATAGCAGTGTCTCTGATATATGAAGTGCAAACATAAGGAAGGTATTTAAAAGTTTTATAGTATTTAATTTTTTTTTTTACATGAATTATAAAGATTTTAATCTTTGACTGGTTGTAAACAGGCTGCCTTGGAGAAAGAATGGATAACTCTGGATTCGAAATGCTTCCCTTCCAAAATGCTGCCACTCTCAGACCAGCTGTACTGGCCAAAGGTAACAGCATGGAAATCTCTTAGCCTTCAGTCTTTCTTTATTCCTTGAGGATATATAGTACTGCTGTGATTAATACTTAAATTTATTACCTTGAAAAACACAATTACTTTAAGAAGCCTCTAACTTCCTCCACATCACCAGATGTCATTTTTCAACCAGCCTTTTCTTCATTTTTTCTTCTTCTTTATTTTGGATTGCTTTCAGCACTTTACATCACGGTAGCAAAACATTGATCGTTTGCAGCTGTGAGTGTAGATTTTGCTTAAACTTATTGTGACAAACAACTTAAAAGGTCTACGTACAGTATATACATGTCTGTTAATTAATATTATGTTGTATGATATTATTTTATATCATATCATTTTGCAAAAATGTTTATAGATTTTATTAAAATGTAATATTAACTTGTGAGATGGATTCGATTTAAATGAAGCACAAGAACTTTGTTAAGGACAATTTTTTGCTTTTGATTACAGCCTCCAAGTCACCAAGCCATAAAGGATAAAAATATGCCTGTAGTATTATGCAACCCAAAACAAGCTTGGTTGAGTGAAGAGAGTGAAAAGATGACTAAAGAGCAACAGAATTCCTCATCACTAAATCCTGAGAGTAGCAGCAGGTACTGTATCATTATAAAGCCTACACCAGAGACATGGGATTGTCTGTAAATGATTGTTGTGTTACAAGTTGAGTTTAATGTAGCCCCAATCTATGACTGATCTGATTGAAGCAGTGAGCAGAGAGTAACTTAAAGAGTTAATTATTTATACAGCAGATGCACAAATGCTTAAAGCAGACTGTATACAGAGGACTTAAAAATAAGATATAAATCTTATTTCATGAAGCTGGTAACGATTGTGTGTAATTACATTTTGTCCAACTGTTTAGCAAAGGTATTCCTGAAAATGAGTACTGTGCAGTTCCCTCCAAAAGTATTGGGGTATTGATATTGAAAACAAAAGTGTCAAGCAAATCAAGCAATTATTATTTATTTCTATGAATGTTATTAATATGTTAATATGAATGCTAAGAACAGTATGATACATGTATAATTTTTGATTATATTAAAAAAAAACATAATTTTTGTTCAAACCAGTCAATTGGGGCATTCTGCAATTGGATTTAGATCTGGAGACATGGACAGACTAAGATTTTCCCCTTTTTTCTCGTGATGAATTCCTGGATGGCATTTCAGTACTGTATGTGTTGGGTCACTGCATGGTAAAGCGCAGCCCAATAAGTATGAAACTATTTTCCCATATATAAGCAATCAAAATCTTTCTGTAAATTTAAGAATTTATTCGGTCTTCAGAGGTATTATGGGTCCAGGTCATGCTTAGAATTTCCTTGGAAGCGCATTTGCAAAGAATTGGAAATGGTCCACTTGATCTGTGAAGCACCGTAACGGGAAATTTTATGCAAGGCCACCTCTGGAGCTGGCCCAGTCTTATTAATTGATAATGTCGCTAATGATAGCGGCAGAAAGAATTCCTATTTGTAAATAAAAACTGTACTTTTTTTTGCTTATGTAGCAATAAATACATATTAGGCAGAGCTGATCTGAAATGAGAACATGTAATAAATTCCTTGCTGAAAAGAGAAGAAAAGAAATACAACATTTCAGATATGGAGCCTTCTCTGGGTGTGAAATATATGCCAGGGCAACAAAGTCCATCAGGAGAAAATGTTTAAGACTAGCCAGGTCAGTCGCCAGATTTTAATCCAATCGAGCATGCATTTTACATGCTTCAGAGAAATTGAAGTCAGTGCACTCCACAAATATGCAAAAACTCAAAGTGGCTGCAGCAAAAACTTGGCAAAGCATCTTAAGAAATTATACAAAAATGTTGTGATCTCACAGACTTCATGCAGTTATTGCATCAAATAATTATGCAACCATTGACTTTAACATTCAAATAATACTTGACTTTGCTAAAATAATACTTTCGGAGGGTATACAGTATGCGGTTTTAATTTTTTCTGATTCAAATAATCTCTTGGATTATTATGGATTTATAATACCATATTATTTTGGCGGCACAACAGTGGTTTTTATACAGTATTTTTTTAAGAGATGCTGCATGTCAAAGTGTTTGTTTTACTACCCATTCTGTTTTATGTAAAACCATTGTTAAACTGTACCTAGAAAGAAAGGTTTCTTTTAGTCTTTGGTGAAGATGCTGAAGAAAGAGATTCATTATTAACGTTAATCATTTACTTTTTTAAGTAGTAGTACTCATTGACTGACCCTGAAAAGATACTGTACTCGTCTCCAAAGGCAAAAAGACACATTTGTACTTACTTCAGAAGAATTCCTTACAAAGTGATGGATAAAAATTAAATGCTGTATATTAGACTAATGATTTCTCATAGGTTTCAAACTTGGGTCTCCATAGATTGCTCAGAGCATGTTTCTTTCCGCCAGTCTGTAAAGAGCTTTTAAATTGAGTTGTCTTTTCCTGTACCATGAACACTGTCAACCCTGTAGAACTAATGATATTAGCTTCAAATAAAAATGAGACCATAGGGGACAAACTCCAGTGGGCAACTACCAACCACTGGGTACTGGCATCACCATTGTTGACCACAAGGCACACAGCACATTCTTAAAGTATCTAATCTGGATGACAGTGCTTCCTTTTGGTATGGGTATATATTTTTCATGGTCCCATTGGTAATCTGCAATTTTATTTTCACACTAGACGTGATTGAATATTCCAGGTAACCTTATAAGCAACCTGTACTTTTTTTTTCTCAGAATTTATGACTGTATATAATTTGAGCAAATTTGAGGAAATAATTCCTCAGGACTCTTATTTTCCATTAATGTTAATTTTTGTTCAATTTTCTTTATTTAATAGAAGACTTTCATCTGCTTCAAGAGCCGAGTCTGCTCTCACATCAGAAAAGGAAAAACTGTTAGAAGAATGGTACTGTATGTCGAAAGGATTCTTTTCTAATGAAATAGTTGTCAGGTTTCTAAGTTTAAAAAGAGTGATAATCTGGTATTTAAAGGGTATATTAGGAGGAAATAAAAGTAAAATTAATAGCAGGTATCGGCTCTTCTCGGTACCATTTTGAGAATATCTATCTATATTTTGTTTAAACACAAAACAGGCATTTTTATTTCTTTTCATTCATATTTCATTTATTTTAAATAACTATACTGTAGTTATTTAAGTATAAAATGGTTTGAAATCAGTTACAATGTGGTCGGCATAGTGGCACAGATGCTAGGATTGCTGCCTTGCCGCGCTGGGCTTGTGGGCTCAATTCCAGACATGGAATAGCAAATGGCGTGCTGTTTGTATGGAGCATGTTTCTGCCATGTTCGCATGGGTTTTCTTCAGGTGTTCCAGTTTCCTCTAACAGTCCAAAGACATATGGTAGGTTTATTGCCTTCTGGGAAAAGTGGCCCTGGTGTTAGTGTGTGTGTGTGTGTGTGCCCTGCTCACAAAAAAAACACCAAAGTGAGTCATTTCTGTATTGGTCTTTGGAATTGATAATATTGTCTTAAAGTCTGAGTTTTTTACAATGCAAATTATTTACAATAATTTAAAGTGATTACATTAAAATACATTATTATGACATATTTAAAGAACAATATGCCTATAGCATGCACAAAATGAACAGTTTATTATGATCCTTTATGTTTTATTTGTTGCCTGTACTTAGGGTTTGAAGGTACTGTATGTAAAAACAAAGATTACATTTTATGTGTTTATTAAGTAATCTTAAATCACCAGCTTCTGGTATTAATTTCTTCTTTAATTCAAACCGTATAAACTTTATGTTTATAGGGGAATAAAAGACAGCTATACTGCTCATTTGATATTGAGAAGAGCACATAAAATGAAATCTAAGAAACAGCAGCAGAAGAAATTACTTGGTAAGTAACTGAAACAATGGTCTGCATTTCTGTCTTTAGTAAATCATCTTTAATACTTGATTACCTCTCAGTTAGTCCATTAAAATATTTTAAACAGATTTTAAAGAAACTTATTTCAAAATTCAAGTACAATGTTTCTTTAGGCAGCATCTGAAAGATCCTCTAAGTTTACTTAAATAAAAATTAGTCTGCATTTTTAGTAACATTTATTGACAGTTTTAAAGAAAAAAATAGCATACTGATATTCACTCCTGCTGCCTATCGCTTCATATCAGCTTATACAAAATTAACTTCTTACATTTAATTGTAGGGTAAATTGAAATGATTCTTTGTGCAATTATTTTTTATCATGGATATTTTAAAAGTGGTTTGGTAAAATTATGTAAAGAGACCTTTCCTTTCAATAACCCATAAACATTCATAACAGAATTACATACATAACTTGACATTTAATATAACTTCATGTTGTCTTTAAGCATATATTTTCTGAAGTGCAGTTGCCTATTTTCCCACTTCAAAAAACTTTCAGATGCATCAGAGAACTTTGTTCATTTTTAAATAAAAGTATGCACTAATTAAGCAGACATTGCATCACAACATTAGACTTTAAAAAACAGATCTAAAAGTTGTGATAATAAAATGTAGATTTTAATATTTTAAATAAATTGACAGTGATTTCATAATTTGATTCACCTTTAATTGCCTCACTATTTAGTACCAGAAATCCAACTGCCATTCTGTATATCTAATGAAGTTAGATTTTTTTGCAATGGGAAATGGATCATATTATTATGCTAATTACATCTGTTTGGTCATTGCTTGTACTTAGCTAGTCAAATTTCAAATATTCCTGTACCCTATTATGTCAAGTCATTATCCCTGTATACCTGGTTTTATGTTCATTCTGATTGAACATTTTCTACTATTTGGCCAGACCCAGCTGTGCGTCTGGCATTATTCAAGAGCAATGAAAATAAACATACCCCTGTGAAGCTACCAAAGAAAATGTATCCTCCAAAACTAAGCTGTTTTAAAGGTAGGTCTATACAAAATTGATTAAACACTTAGCAGCTGCAGAATATATGTTTGAAACATTGTAAGCCTACTTAACAGGACATGCCATCATTCCATCCAAGGAAAATTAATGTCAGCTTCAATACTAAAGATGTTTACTTTTTTTAGAAAAATGTGTTTGTAGATATATCCAGTAGTTTTGCACAGAGGCGTGTTATTTTGTAGGCAGTTCTTTCTGGCTAAAGAACTGGAAAGTTTTTCTTTCTAAATTATGGGAGAATAGATATGTTTAAAACAGTTATTTCTTGGTTTACACTTTACACGAAACACAATGGAAATGGAATAAAGAATCATGCACCCAGTAGCAGAGTGTACTAGAATAATTTCATAAGATTTCTTATACTGATGTTTAAGTAGTCTTCCATCTTGCAGAAATGCAATGCATGACCTGACTTCTTCCAAATAATAATGTAAATATCACCAATTACATGAGTATTATAATTTGAAACCTCTGTCTTTTAAACCAGTATCAAAAGTGTAAGTTGATGTTGTCATTTAGTACAATACATAAATTCTGCTTAACACATCCTCTGATATTAGAGAGTGTTTTATATATTTATGTTCCAAAAGATTTAACTCAATCAAATGTCATTTGCTTTTTTGGTTTAAAAGTATTTTAAACAGTTATTAATAGACTCATATATATTCAATAGATATCTTCAGATCTTAGACAAAATTAGTTGTTCCTTGTTACTCATCCCTAAAGCTAAAATGTTACATTTTTGTAGTGCAAAATACAGATCTGTAGTACAAAATGTCAGGATTAGCTAAACTTAAAAGAAAATGGATAACATTTCAGTGGAAGATCATCATAATGTAGAATTGTTCATGAAGAATGAAGAATTGTTCAGTGAAGAAGTACTCAGTGTAAATATTCTTTTAATAGAATGATGCCAATACCTAAGACATATCCACTGCAGTTCAGGAAGAATTCAACCAATTGATATTGATATATTTGCCTATCATAAGGTTTTGCACTAGGTATCAGTGTGAAATCCAATTTACCAAAGAGAAGTAGACTTTTGAAACATTTAAGGTTAAATTTAAACCTGACTGATTTGGGGAATCGGCAGTTATTGCTTTTCCTTTTTATTTGCCAGTAGAGACCCTACTTAACAATAGAGATCAACAGGAGGAAATATTTTCTCATATTGAGAACTTTCATGGCTTCTTACCAGTGCCTGCACATGTAAACTGATAGCCATTTCAAGTAGGTTACTCATGTCCAGTACATCCACAAAAGAGCCAGGATAAAATAAACACACCGAGTTAGATATCTTGGAAAAAATCTGTCATGGGTTTGGGTTAATCATCTCCAGAAGACGTTCAACTTGATGCCTGAAATGTAAGACTTGCTGGGGAAAGCGGTAAGGCCTGAGGCAGTGTTGATCTGAAAGAGTGCCTTCCATGGGTCAGAGCTGCTCTGCTGGCAGAGTGCAAAGCTGGTTCACAACATCAGCTCTCAAAGAAAGCTGTAAAAGGCTGCAGGAGCCATTCTTGTGCACGCATTCAGGTTTCAGTTACACTTTTAAAGCCCTATCTCTGATCATAAACTGAATCTGAAGAAAATGCAAAATCTGTACCTAATTTTCCGACCTCCTGTCTATCAGCTGTTATATTTAGTCTCCTTCACGCTTTGTAGAGCAAGGTATTTCTTTATATATACCTTTATGTATATCATGAAAATCTATATATTGCAATGTAATTTCTATGCACTATCCAATTTGCATATACAGTACATATATGTGGTACCTAAAAGTGTTTTTTTTTTTATTTCAGCAGGATTTCTGCTGTACAATGAAATACAGAAAGATAGTGTACAAGGTAATTGCCTTATTTGGACAGTTCAATATCAATAAAACTGTAAGACAAAACAGATATGCTGGCAGATAAAAATAATATTTTAAGAAATAAGTTATTGTATTTTTTGATTTTGTGCCAATGTAAGCTAGTGCTGTTTTTTTCTTGGTTTTCAAGTACAATGTGAAAAACCAATTAACTGTAGTACAATAATAAATACCAGTTATTTAATTGTAACTGATATGATTATATACAGTTTATAATCATATATATATATATATTATACAGTATATATAGCTTATGTTTGTAGCTACATTTCCAGTTGATATTCATGAGACTGCCATTTGGTGACTTTTGGATTCTCACAGGATACCAGAAGTATTCTCTAAAACAATTATAATTAAAGTACTTCTTTTCTAGATATGAAACCACATTATATCTCTTTCATGGTTCATTTGGACTGAAAATAACATGTACAGAAGTTTTGACCAGTATTGTTTATGACAGATCTGAGAATTTTTCCTTAATGTCTCCTGAGATCATATCCATGCTGTTCTGGGGATCTAAAAATTCATCTTGTTAAAATACTTCAGTTAGTATGCTAATACCACAAATAATAGCATCCATCTGTTTGACATTGGTAGAGCTCTATTATTTTAGCAACTGCCAATGTTCTGTTGTATAGCTTTGTTTAAACTTTTCATATAAAAGCTGAACTAATTTCACAGACAATGCAGGTAGACAGACATCTCATATTTAATTAATTCATTGTCAGGTGTTCAAAGTCACTTCTCAAGCATGGTTTCAGAGAGGTTACTTGTTGTTCTCAGCCCAGGTCATGTGAAGCCCTGACATAAAGACATGAAAATGTGTGTTCATTGATTTATAACACTGTACTTTGATTTTAACTGTGTTTAAATCAAAAACTCCCTTTTTTCTTTAATGCCTTTTAATTTTTATTTGGTTGAAAATGGATGGATAAACTAGGCCTTTAGAATACTGCCTTTAATTGACTCAGTTGAAATTTGAGAATCCTATTAATGAAAAAGTCAGATATCTTGTGCAACCGTGTCTTAAGAATCTATTATTGGAGAGTAAAATGAACAAATTCATTGAAGTCTCTTATTTTTTATTGAGTACCAAGAAAATGTTAGAAATGTTTTTTTAATGTTACAGCCTTGAAAGTTGTACATTAATCTGATTATCCATTTTCAGCACTTTAATTTCATAATATTTTATTCAATTTAATTTAACTTGAATTATTAAAAAATAAACATCCTGTAGATGTTGTGTTGTGAAACACAATAACAGAGTAAAGGTGAAACAAAATAAAAGTAACTGGAAACTGGTTTACTGATAAAGCTCATGTCATTAAAGGCACCCCTTCTAATTTTTGTCTGACTTTATCACCCCAATTAAATCCACATTTGCTTTAATGCTTAATGGTATATGTCCATTAAGGAAAGTTTGTTTTTTTTTTTTTTGGCGGGTTGTTAATATGGTCATTATATCCCTTTTATTGAAGTATGAAGTCTTAAATATTCTGAAGATTACATTTCATTTATGGAATTTACTGAGACACCAAATTGTATTTGGTAAGGTGTTTTCTCTCCAATTGGAGATGTGCAGCTTAGTTCACTGCTATCAGATGAACATTATTAAAGGGTACCAGGCTTCTGATAACACTCTTGCCTTCTGCACATTATACTGTACAGTACATGTAACTAAATACATGGTCTCTTAGTGTGCTGTTCTGTAATTAGATGCTGACAAGGCTTATTTGTCCTTGGTAGGAATATTTATGATTGGTTCTGAATTATTGTGCTTGTGCTAAGGTTTCAGCAAAGGTGTTTCTGCAATGCTGTTGACAGGCAATAAATGTTCTTTCTTGTTTGCCATTTGGCATGAGCACTTGCCCGCAATGCCAGTTTTCAACTTTGTTCCTCACTCTTTCTTTGGATTGTGTAGTTCAGGCTGTTTGCCAGTCTACCAATTTTAATTCTGTTATTGTTTATAATTTTTAATATTCTGTATTTTTCAATGCAGATTATATACTGTTATTATATCGATATGTGAGCTATTGTCTTAATGCCTGCTTCAAAGCTAACCATTGAGGAAAATTGATTGTTCAAATGTTGCAGAGGAACAAGCTGTCCTACCTCCACCACTGGTCAAACACTTCAGACACCTTATATTGAGATTAGTGCTCCTTTACAAACCTCCACGGTAAACAACATTAAAAATATGTTTGCACTTGAAGAGATTTAATTTGCCTCCTTCTTTTAAAACTCATATTTCCATACTAAAAATGAATATGCTCCTACACTTATTTTTCTTTTTAGTTCTGTGATTTCACTTTTCCTTCCTTTAGGGTATTGGGATAGACTACATTCTAGAATTTCAAAATTCATACGGAAAGGGAAGTGACCATGTATTAAATTCTCTATTCTATAGCATGAAAAATCTGCAGGAGCCCTGGCTTTGCCAACATTTTAAATTTTATTTCTACACCTTTTGTTTTGTTTCTATTGTCTGGTGTAATTCTGATACTCCTGTATTTTGGCGTCTACTTGAAGAATGTCTGACCTTGGTATTTAGACTTCAAGACCTGATTTATGATGGGGAACTTTTAGATAGTGTACATTACTGTTAAGTCCAAAATTACACAATTACTTAAGATATGGAGTTCAGAATAAAATTGCAGAAAACGTGGTATGTCCATTCTATCAATTAAAGGTAATTCTCCTTTCTGTTATTCACACTGGAAAAAAATATCTGAACTTCATATAAAGCTTCATAAAAATCTTAATCTGTGGTTACTCATCAATGGTTAATAACATAAGGACTTGATGAAGATGAGGCTATTTCCTGAGGCAATATTTGGGATGATACAGTATAAAATTTGTCTGCAAAAATCCTTTTAATTGAATCCTTGACAAAAAATAATGAAGCTAGTTTTTAATGCATGGTATACTGTACACTCTGTCACTTTGAGGCACATTTATACGTGTTTTGGTTGGAAATGTCTAGAGGTGTTTAAATTCTGGAAACAGGTTTCACCTTTTAAACAGAGCAATCCCCTGTTCTCACTTGGTATTGTTGATGATGACTCCAATCTGGACCTCTTGCAGTGACAAAAATAAGACCCAGTTGGCTGATCTGACTGCAGCTAAAAAAAATGCTGGGACTGTGCTGGGAGCCTCCACATTCTTTCTCCTGGCACTGGATCATGTGATCCGGACCTGACTTAATATAATTTATATGGAATTCCCAAGTGCTAGGACCTAAGGTACCAGTGAGTGGACAGCAGGGGCTAGGAGTGCTGCTGCTGACACTGTCAAGGTCCTCTTGCATGAAGTTTGTGCTGAAGCGTTCTAACATTTCTTAGGCATCTCTAAGGGAGGACTTGTAATCGGGTACCACTGAGGTACAGGGAAGATGGGGGATGTGACTTTATTAATGTTTTTGTGTTGTTTTGTTAGGGCAGCAGGCTGGTGTAGCGTTTAGCATTGCTCTTGGGTTCCGACTTCAATCCATGTTTAGGGCAGCTTGTGTGCGGAACTTGTTGTTTTGCCAGGGCCTCCACTTTTTTCCCACTTTCAAGAGACATGCTGTCTAAGCTAAATGCCATCTCTAAATATTTTCCCATATGAATGAATGTGCATCGGCTGAGCTCAGGTCTAGTCTACCATGACCTTGCATTAGACTATAAAATTACTAAAAGTGGATGGAATGAAAAGGTGTTTGAAAATAAAACTTAACAAAACAACTCTATAAACCTGTGTTTCAAGAAAGAAGTAAATTTGGTTCTGAGATGCTACACCTGAAATTGTATAATGTTTTTAATGTCTTGAAAGGAAGAAGATCATATGAGGGATTTTGGTGTTTTGCGTATAATACAGTAGTTTAGGAAGAGCTCAAAAGAGTATCAGAGGATATTGTTTTCTGCTGTATTAATGCAGTCAGACAGCATTGGGAGCTTGGTAAAAACTTACCTTGAACATTGAACTTTATGAATCTAATGTTTTATTCATTATGAAAAATAATTAGAGCTATATTACTGCTGCAAGTTTAAATATTAAAACCTATTTAAAAATGTAAGAACTACTAGTAAAGCTAAGGCAGAAATATAATCTAATTATTTCCTTAACATTAAATGTTGTTATTATGGAAGAGTGTGGACATTTCACTTTAAGAAATCTTTGGGTTTTTTGTTGAGGATATGGAACCTCAATCATTATTAACAAGTTTTAGTAGTCCTTTTACAGAGCTGTAGAAAGATCCAAAGGTTTTTTTTTAAGCAGTGGACTGTGGTAGCATACCTGCGATTTGTTATATGCTTTACCCATATTTTGTGTTGATAATGAAGGAATTAAGGTAAATATATACATATTTTCACTTTCAGTCATTAACAATTAACTTTAAATGTTAAAGTCTGCCATTTCCTTCTATGACCTCTGAATGACCAGATAACCATTTCCTTTGCAGAAGTAAGGTCATGACCTGGGCCATACAGAGCAGGAGACAGTCCATTTTTGGACTTGCTGGCTTTTTAAACCTACTAATTAACATTACAATAGTAAAAACACATTATACAGGTGCCAAAAAATCAATTGCAATATGTCTGCGTTTTGTTGATGTCAGTTTTGATCATTTTAATTTAGATTAGTTTTAAAGTACTGTTTTGTTTGTAGGCTATTTAGCCTTAACAATTGCAGTGGCAGTTTCTTTTAGGTTAAAAGGCTTAGAAGTATGATCAGTTTTAAATAAAATATAAATTCTTATATAAACATATAAATCTTATACAAAATAAGAAATATAAAATTTCACATTTATTACTTTTTGAAAAAAGCATTTAGGATTAGAAGTAGTGAGTCAGAGGATAATTATTTGGAATTTAGACTGGAATTGTAACTTTTTTTTCTTTTGTCATACATTCATAAAATAAAGGCCTATATTAAATGAAAATGTCATTATATTCTCAAATCAGAAATGACAAAGCTGATAATTGATGACAATTTTATGGGGGGGTTTTACGTTTCTTGCTTTTACCATGAAACTCAACTTCACATGCTGGGATTGTAATTTTTGACTGGCAAGTGGGTTCACATTCGGATTCAGACTGCTTTTGTATGGAAGGCTGAATGTGTCTGAATAAACCTATTGTTCCTCTGCAGCCTACGCATGCTGACACAGCTACCCACCTGAACTAAGTATTAAAAGTACTATACTTCTATTTAAAAGGCTGTTTGTTGCAGGTGTGTTTTCTTATTCATTCAAACATAATCTGTTATCTGAAACATAATCATAAACATAATCTGTAAGCAAAGTAAGCAATAAAATATGAACTGCATTAGGAGAAACTGAATTCATATTTTAATAATATGTGTTAGTCTGGAATATTCAATCTTTCAGTTATCCCCTACAGATAGATAAATTTTCTCAATAATGTTCTCTGCCATGGATTTCAGCAACTATGTTAAAAAAACCTAGTGCCAAAAGTCTGCGTGATGTGCTTCAGACTCTGAAAATTCACCTAAGTGCATACACTAAGCTAATAAACTGCTAACTTTATTTTTGTACAGCTGTAGCTTACACACTGATACAGAATCTTTACATTTGATATAGAAACTGATTTGAATGAAGATTTCTGGTTCATTCTTTATAAATTATTTTTCTTTAATTAAAAATATGTAAAATACATTTTAAAACTCCAGTAGTTTTTTTTTTGCTTTAGTTTGCTTTTCTGCTGTTAAAATTCAAAGGTTACTGCTGTGAAAGTTAATTCTATGTTGAAAGAAATAACTATTTTCAGGTGATATTTAATTTTTTATTTGTGTTCTAGTTTTGACTAGAAGAATAAAGAATCTAAATTATATGTTTTTTATTAATAAAGAGTGCAATAATAGTTATCATTACAAAAATGATGTTGGCTGTATGCTATGTCTCGCATTTTGAATTATACTTATTCTTGTGTACTGATGATTATGTAGACATTTACATGCATCTCTGTCATTCTTTTTCTTGATTCCCTGAATTTGGATTCAAGTATTACTATTTTAATAAGATATTGAAAATCATTGCATTCTTTTGCTTATGTTCAGATTAAACTGCAGATGACCTTGATTTGTTTGCTCAGAAGAAGGTTTCTAAAGTGCCTGCAATGAGTCCCTTTTTAGGACTTAATTGCTGCAAGCCTTGACCTTCTTGACTGTCCGTGACTGGCCCAGAACAGTTCTATTCTCTGATATCGTGACATGGCTCCTGTTACCTCGATGGTGATCTTAAGGTTGAATGATACCCCTGAGAGCTCTACTTAACAAGCATGACTCCTGATCTCCTCAAGGGTTTGGGGAGGAATAATAGGGAACCTTGTGCATACAATTAATCTTTGTCATTAATATGTTAACAATGTGTTACGTGTACAAAGTGTATTAGTTTAGATTTTATGAACAGAGAAAGAACTTTCCCATTTGTGCGGCCTGTTTTTCTCACCCACATCCACTGCTGTCACACTTATTCTTCTGATGGAGAGCATAATTCTCAAAAAATCTTGAATCTGCAATAAATGTCAACCATTGAATATATTGTGTGTATGTATGTTACATACTGTACTAAAGTTAATTAAGTAGTAAGTATTAACATTTTGACAACATTAAGTGCAATTTGAAGTAGTTTTTAATTTGGCCTCAGGGGATATGTCAATCAATCTGACTGGAGATTTTAGTTAGTTATTAACCAAGAACAAATGCTGTAAATCTTTACAGACTTTTACTCCAGCCTTGAAAACCATGAAGATTTTTTTTATTAAATAAGACATTCATTTCCTCATAAAACTGTCACAAGCAATTACTAATGGATGAATTACTTTGTCTGGAAATGTATTGTTGTGGGTTGTCACAGTATTTAAACTTAAAAAAATGTCTTGACTTGGATATCCTGTTTGCTGGTTGTTTTAGACTGGCGGTCTCAATTTTGTGGTATTAAATCTTATTTACTTATTGCATTGCCTTGGGCAAATCTATTACACTTTAAACCTGAGTAATGTTCTACAAGCCACTGTGCAAAACAATATACTGTACTTCATTTCATATTATTGGAAAAAAAAGCATTTATCTAGTGATAATACACAACTGGGTGAATGACATGGTGATTTGTAATATTTTTAGCTACATCCGCAAAAAATAAGCTATTTCTCCATTCAGTAATGTGGAGTAGGACATAAAGAGTTGATTACCAGTATCATTTAGTAAAGAATAGAAGAAGCCAGATTTGTATAGTTTTGCTTTTTGGATATTAAAACAGAATAGACTCTTATCGGTGAAAAAGGAAAACAAAAATTTTGTAGTGGCCTTTTACAGTATATCAAAATGTTTTGTTTTAAATTTCAAACTTTAAAAAAGGAAGGAAAACAAAAATAGGCAACATCACATTAGTTAAGATGTTAAGAAGATTTATTTTCAGCTTTCAGATTGTTGAACCCAATCATTCATATTATACATAAATATTACCCTCGAGATAAATATTCTTTTATCTGGTAATTCCGGAAGAAAGCAGACATAAACATTGTTCTGTTCGTTCCACTACTAAGTTAAATTTTAAAGGTTTGTTTTTGTAAAAAAACGTAATTTATGTGTCTCATTAAAACTCTTCAGAATTCTGATGTGGCTGCTTCTTTATGTGGTTCAAAGATGTTAAATTTAAATAAATTCTTAAAACCTGTCAGTACAGGTATGTATAGTAAATCTGTTTATTTTTTTTCGGTAAAATAAAATAATAGGATGTAGAATTTCATGTTTAAAACCATGTTGATAAAGCAGTCAGCACTGTTAATAAATGTTCCGATTCAACAGTTCAACAATACTAAAACATCGAATGTTTTCAGAGTGAATACATGTAAACCTTGATAGTGGGCACCATGTTTTCTTGGTTATTTAAAATTTAAATGTATTTTAATCCTCTTGAGAAACACCACATATATTGCTATATTTTCATATTAATGACTGTACTTAGTGTGCATGAAATTACAGTTTATACTGTATAAAATGTAAACATTAACCACAAGTTTTATTTTCTTATTCTTATTTATGTATTAATTTCCTTAAATCTGTCTCATTTAAGAACTTGCACCTTCGGACACAATAAAAGGAGATCAATCTGAGTGCAGTAAAGAAAGGACATATCAGTGGCTTCACACACAAGTTGTAATTTCTGACACCAGCTCCAGTTTTATGAAAAGGTGAGATTTTTTTTTTCTTCAAAGAACATTTTCTGCCCATCTGGAATTTCTGTTCTGTCTTGGAATTGCTTGTATATACTTGCTGTATCAATGCTGTGTTAATTACTGTTAAGCAATTATTGGGCAAAATAGTAAACAATTAAAGACCAAACATATTTAATTATGGCAACCTCACTTATTACAAGATTGCAAGATTATTTATCTTGTTTGTCTTTTGTTTTATAACTATTCTGATGTCTGTTTTGCTTGTCTTGGGCTGGACTGCTGTAACACATCAATTTCCCTACGGGATCAATAAAGTATTATCTATTTATCGTTTCGGCCGTGGAGCCTTTTTCAGGTGTGACACCTGAAGAAGGCTCCACGGCCGAAACGTTGTGTTCTCTTTCTTCTTTTTTTCAGCATGGAATAAACCTATTACTTGTTCCTTTGCAGCCTACGCATGCTGACGCAGCTACCCACCTTATCTATTTATCTATTATTAAAGGCTCATTTACATTTATAAATAATAAAGATTTTCTTGACTCAAAAAGACTTTCATAGTTAGCATATAGTCAGAATTTTACAACTGACCTAAATCAACAGGACAGCACATGGAGCCGTGATTAAACTTTGTGCTTTGCAGCACTGGAGCCCAAGGTTTAATTCCTGGGATATTATCTGTGTGGGGTTTGTATATTCTTCCAGTGTTTGCATGGGTTTCCTCCAGGTGCTCCAGTTTTCTCCAAAGACATACTGGTAGGATAACTGGCTACAGGGAAGATTGACCCTGCTATGACTATGTGTGTTTGTACAGTATCTGTGTGTGTGCCCTACGATGGTCTTGTCCAGTGTGTATCCTGCTTTGTGCCCGTTGCTAGCTGGGATAGGTTGCTGCTGCCCTGCACCCCTGTATTGGATGTGGTTAAAAATGGATGGACCTAAAACTTTACATGCAATACATATTCTTCAATAAACTGTTTTGTGTTTTTCTAAAAGAGATTAGGGCAAAGGCTGTACAACATTTGGTGGCATTGTATACTCTATGTCTTGCCATATACAGAAGAAAAACCTGATTATCCACATGAAAAATGCATTTTTCAGATGAACAAGTTAAATAATATGGACATTTATGGACATTTTTGCAGTGACCGTTTCCTTCCAGAGATTGATCCTGATGTTCTGAATGGTGGACGGGTTCAGCTTGTGGTAAATATACATCTTTGGATCTGCTTTTTTGCTTCACTGCTTAAACATTTTTGTTTTTATTTTTGCTTAAATATTGTGTGCCTAAATGTAACTTTGTTAATCATTTGTTATACATCAGTTTAAATGGCCTGTGAATTTGTACAAGTGATTCTGAAAGGCTGATGGCTGCCAATAGTGTGGGAGCATTGCAATGTTTCATTATTAGAATTTATACAAATTGAATTTAGTTATAGATTAACAACTTGATTAGAATATAACCTGCTTCCTTAATAAGAAATGAATTGCAACAAAAAGACAGGAAATATTAAGAATGTAGTTTGTATGTTTACTTCGCAGTAAGATGGAGGTTCTGTAGTTGTGGTATAAGGTTCCCTGAGTGATTATTTTATATGCATAAATTACATGATATTATGTGTTACAGTGAAATTATTATTTCTATGAACATTCAATGTTGTGCTAAAAAATCTGTTCCCAAATCACCCTTTTAATTATTTCACTTTATTATTTTTATTTTTGTATAATATGAAGAAAACATATTTACAGTACATACTGTACTGTACTGTACTGTACATTTCTTATATCTTAAGAAAAACACCTAATTATATGTTGTGTTATGGAGTTGGAACAGTCTAAACCTCTGATATGAATGTCATAGCTTTGCAGTCACAGACAGCTGTTAGATGCTTTTTATGATGTTTTTACATCAATGTTTATAATGCAATTAAAATCAAAACTACAAATTCTATACATTAAATAAAAATAAAAAAGACCTCATAGGGACCTACTAATTATATATACTGTATATTCAGTTCCATTACTGTTGTCGTGGTGGTTCTGTTCTCACTAAATCAATTTTATATTTAACTACTTCCTTTCCTTCAGTGTGTAACAGTTCTCATTTGTATTCTTCCATTGGCTGCCAACCAAAAGCGCACTTCTGGGAGCAAAGCATCCACAAGGATAGCAGCAGCCCCCAACAGCAGAAACAGAAAACTGGCAGCATCCTTCCTTTCTTTAAATCTGTCTATATAATCTTTCTTTAAATTGGTTTGACAAACCGTATTAGTGGAAGTTTATTTTTTATATGTATGAACTACGCTCTGGGCCACAGGTTACCCACCACTGCTCTAGAAACTCTTTGATTTTGGAGTGTTATCTTGGTTTTCTTGAATTAATGGGCTTTCTTGTATATTGTGCTTAAAATAGCTAATACAAAAAGAATAAAAATACAAGTACAGTACTCTCCATCAGCATAAAAGTGGTGATGGTGAGAAGGCTCTGGCCTGCCATCTGCTTCATTTAAGTAGGTAAATAGAAGTCTAATTTAGCATACACATATGTCTGGGTAATACCTTTAATATTGTGCTTAGTACAACAGCGCTTTATATTGATTAACTGAGTTCGTAACATATAAAAGTTTTTTTTTATTCTTTTTGAGAAAAAGAGAATGTAACATTTCTGGGTGACAGGGGAACTGCTGTTGATCTACTGTGCAAGAAATTATTATTATTAAAATTGCTTTTTAACCACTTTCACAGTGTAAAGCAATTGTAAAATGGCCACAAGAACTGTGTTACCTAAAATGACTTAGTATATTATGGTGCTTACAGAATGGTAGAGATGGAGATGATTAGTATATCAAGGTAACTTTTTTTCTGCTACATCAAATAGTATGTTACCTTTTCAATCAAGAGTTGTGAGATATGCCCGACAGAGGGCCCATTGGTAACTGTTCAGACGTAATCATGACCATATGTGCACCACGTTGGTGTGTGCTATATCAGCATCATCATCTTCAGCCTTTATCGATCCTCAGCTGGATTATGCCCCCCCCGACATTCTTCAGCAAACTCCTTTCTTTGGTTATCCTCAAAGGAAAATATTTAGAACATGTGTAAAAGCCAGTGAGCACTTCTGTGGTGAAATTTAGTGTTACTTTCAAATTTAATACCAGATTGGCATTTAGATGACCAAAACTATTTTTGTCCTGTGGCATAAACACATTCTTGTTTAACAAATGAACAAATGACAATGTTCAATAATCTGTTATTATTGTAGCCAATAGTAGTGGTTACAGTATAGTCAGTAACTTTACTGGCTTATTATTAATTCTGTATTTTAATGTAACAGTTTCTCTTTTCAAATTTAATTTTAGAAATCTAAGAATAACTGACCATTCACTCTGATTTTCACCTCTAGTGATGAACATTTCATACATTGTTATTATATTAAACAGACTTAATTCATTTTTATTGTTATTTCTGATAATCATCATCTTTCCTAGAAATAAAATTCTTTGCAATGTGGTACTTGCAGCTTGGTGTAAAAATAGAAGTGGGAGCACCCATTAGTGCTTTAAAAGAACTCATATTTCATGAATGTGCTGTTTATTTATTTAGAACTGTAGCGTGAGCTGCATGAAGAAATGACAGATTTTATTTCATGTTTGTGTCTGTTCACCCCTGCTGCTCCTAGGCAAGCCCTGTAAGCAGAGAAGGTCTGGATCAAGAGACTCTGTCCATGGCCAGCGGTAGTGCTTTGACTCAGCCTTGTAGAGAATATAATCAAACACACAGACACTCAGTAGGACGTACAAGTGAGTACTGAGATAACAGATTTGAAATTTTACATTCAAATTTAACGCTTAAGGTAAATGTGTTTGATCTATGAAATCGCCTTTCTTAACAAATGAACACTCAAATATTTTTTGAGAATTGAAGTTATTTTTGGATATATTTGTAGATCATTGCTGTTTGAAATGGTTTTGAAAAATTAGCTTTACTAGCACTAAAGTCCTTCAAGTCTTCATACAGTACAGGTTTATTAAATTTAATATACAGTATATATAGTTTTCTGTTTGATTTTTTATGTTCACTTTATATTACAGCTGATCAATCTTAGATTTAACAACATCTTGTATATAATTGTAATATGTAAAACACATACAATACAATATGAATTTTGTGATTGTAGTATAGATTATACTATACAGTAGGTAGTATAGTGTGTTAAAAATAACACATTGAATACTCCATACTATTTTTTGCAAACATCTTACACTTATTCACATTTATCTTTGAAATATTTGTCAGTTATTCTATCAGTTGTGAATTTTCATATGGTTTTAGATTCTAAGTATTTTTCATTTTGATATACATTATGCACAAAGACATGCTGTTATTATCACTATAACCTGTGAATACTTATAAAGTATGAATGTTAAAAATGACATAGAATTGAACCTGATACATTTTAAACATGTACAAAATTAAACTGTGATGAAAATAAATATTGGCATTAATTGTTACTGCTAAGGTTCACAACTTTTAGCTTTGTTGTTCTGGAGAATGTTCTAATACTATGTAACAAAATACAAAAAAGACTACAGTAATCTAATAATACCACATTTACTATTTAATAATGCATACAATATCAGTTCTTTTGCTCGTTGGAGGTAAAAAAGGTCATACAGAGGACATCACAATGAGGATTTGCTTCAGCAGGAAATGGCAAAAGGCCCGTTTAAAAGAAAGACTATCCTTCTGTCAAAGGTTTTCCTTGGGGTCTTGTGTGACAAAGATGCTACACATGGAGAGGGCCAAGAAGGGCAATGAAGTGACTAGATTAAACAAGTTCTTAAAAAGCGTATCACAATAGAAGAAAACACTGTTCACATTAACAAGGACAAATTAGATTTTGATGATGATTGAAATGAAATCCACGAGGAAAGCAACTAACTTAGTGAGAAACAAGCAATTTATCTTTGCAGTGAAAGAATACTTTTTTCCTAAAAAGTAATCTTCTTAAGATCAAAGTTAATTACACAGCAGGCTGATTAATACCGTCTCTAAGAATTTGTGGTTTCTGTATATACAATAAGAAAATAAAATGGCAAAAATCCCTCCCTTAGCTTTTTTTCTCATTATAGTATCCAGGTTGCCATAACATATTCTATATATGTATATTCATAAACATATTCTTTTTGCCATTTTGTGTACATACTATGTAAAACATTTGTCAGTTCTTCTAGATCTATTCATTTAGAAGAAGGTTTAAAAAATTGTGAGAGCTCTCTGTTGGTCATTTTAAGTGCACGTATTTACCAAGCTTAGGAACACTAATGCTAAAATTAAATCAGTAGGTTTGGGACCTTACGAAGTTTATGTATGTATTTGAGTTACAAAAATCTCCAGGATTAAGATATTCTGTTAATTGTGCTTAAGGGCACAAGAGATGTTATTCATATACTGTTAACTACTGTACCTCTTCCAGTAGTCACTCTGGACAATGGTAATGCCAGCTTACTGGAAAATTACTAATGGCTGTCTAGAAAAAGCCAAGTCAATTACAGACCAATACATCCTACTTCTTTTATATGTATTATAAATTAGAAGCTTTAGAATAGGTCAATCTTGCTTATCTGTGTTACTGTGAGTTCTTTGAAATAGCAACACAGGTAATCATTAAAAACTGAATAGATAGTATGGATTATTTAGATTTTAAAATGTTTCCTTGTAAAAGATGATCAAACTTAAAATTGTAAGCATCCAAGTAAATATTGTGTATTTTGACAACTCGAAAACTGTTCAATATGTGTGAGCGCTCATGTTGGGGTGAAGTAAGTTAGTGGAGAAGTACTGGGGTCTGTATTAGGACCACTGCTGTTCCTAATTTATAGCAAGTCTAGATTTTGGTGACACAAAAGACGTTCCAAAGAAAATTAAAAAAATTATTCAGATAAAACTTAAACCTAGCCAAAAATCGTGCAGACGATGTTTATTGCAGTGCATAAGTGCATAACATAGTGATATTGCCTCACAGATTTTGAGACCTGTTTTCAATTCCTTCAGTATGGAACTTGTACTGTATGTTCTTCACTTGTGCTCATATGTATGAGCTGTATGTTTCCTCCAGGGCTCTTAAGTGGGGTGGGTTTTCCTCCCACAGTCGAGAGGCATGCTGTCCAGGATAATTGGTGTTTGTAATTTGCCCCTGGTACATGTGTGTGAGTGAACGTGCAATGTACTGTGATCCCATCTAGGGACAGTCCTACCTTACACCCTGTCTGTAACAGCTCTAGTTCACTGAGTCCCTTTAAAGACAAAGTAATGACTGAAAATGGATAAGTACATTTAATATGGGAAACATCGTACTTGAAAAAACTACTTATGAAAAAAACCTAGGTATTTATATTAACACAGTATTAATATCATCAAAACAGTGTGGGCCAGTAATACAAAAGATAAGCATAATTTTAGAATTAATAGTATAAAGTGGAACATTTAAATCAAGTGATGTTACAGTAAAATCATACAATACACTCTTAAGAATGCTTTTAGAATATCGGTACAATTCTGTTCACCATGTTACTTAAACGGTATTGCTGCTCTGGAATCTTTGCCAGGCTTAAAGGAATGCTCTGACTGACAGGGTAGCAGAACTGAATGTTTTTAGGCTTGAACAAAAAAGAATGAATAGGGTTTATCTCTTGAATTCAAAATAATCAAGAGCATTGACAAAGCCAACCCAATGAACTTGTCAATGTTAAGAATCAGCAGTGAAGTATGAACCAGATGAAATAAGTCTGGTTATTTCCAGACTATTGTAAGTCTAGAAACTATGGGAAGGAGCATTTAACATTGATAATATTAAGTATAGGAGGCACTTTTTTATACTATATACAGACAAGTTACTGTATGTTTTCCATCTTGATTGTACACTAAAAAGGCTGCATTAGATGCTCTAATCAATTAGCTGTTAGCAGCCAAATGTAACGTTTTTATCAAAGATTTCGCATTATGATACTTGCTGCTCACCAGGGCGTTTCTGTAAAATGCATTCAACCCCACATTTATATTTATTACTTACATGTACATGACAGTAGCCATTTTGGCCAAGCTTACAGAGTTCCAGTGTTCTAAAGCTCGAAACATAATCTGAGTAAAATAACTGAAACAATTTGTTTGGTCATTGTGGGTAAGAGAATGTACAATGATTTTTAAATTATGAGGACTGCATAAATAATACCAAAATGGTAGAATAGTTGTCTGCAAAATTAATCTTTTTAACCACAGCTGTAATTGTGTTCCTGGCATACAACACTATACATTAAATGAAAAATGAAATAGTATTCTTCCCAGTCAGTTTTTTAATGAAATTTGTAAGTAATAGAGTAGTGTTTACAGTACTTAATGAAACATAACTTTGAGATCATGCAGGTAGTTCCCCAGTTTCTGGGCAATTACAGTATATAACCTGTAACATGTGCCACCTCCAACACACAATCAGCCTCATACAATTTCTTGCATTAGGAATTTGTCTTTTTGCATACCCCAGCTTGCTCTCTATGAGACACACAGGCGGGGAGAGAGAAACTTGGGGTCAGTGCGCCGGGTCAGCAATTTATACGGTGCCCCTGGAGCAGTTGGGGTTAAGGGCCTTGCTCAGGGGCCCAACGGAGTAGGATTCCTCTGCTGGCTGTGGGATTTGAACTGGCAGCCTTCTAGCCACAGGCGCAGATCCTTAGCCACAGAGCCACCACTCAGCTCAATCACATACCATTTTTACCCACAATAAGCTAAAACCCATTTGTGTGCATGTGTATGTAAAGCTGTGTGTGAATAACACTTTCTTAATCACATTCACAGAAGTATTGACAGTATTAAAAAGAATCTGAATCTTCCAAAACTAGAAAGTCTTCCATTAAACTCAGTATTAATGTAGAATATCTATTATTGTTTGCTTTTTCAATTCCTATCAAGATATATTGTTTTGTCAAACTGTTGTGCATGTAACTTAATTAATGCTGCATATTATTTTTATACCTTGCATATTAAGTATTTTTTTCATTAATCATTAGAACAGATTCTGCAACTTGGCAGAATGCAGTTATTTATTATTAGTAGTACACTGTTTTCTAAGGATATAAACTGTACTTTTTCACCCATTCATAAAAATATAAAAATGTTTGTCATTGATGTTACCTCACCTTATTCTGAAAATAAAAATCATGTTTGCATTTTTTTTTTTATTTTACAGCGAATAAAGTACCAGTTCCTGTAAGGGTTGAATCTGCTCCATCAAAAAAAGAACGTATTTCCTTTCGGGACAATCCTGTTCAGCTGAGTACTGGATGGGGAGGAGGAAAGAAGAGGACCAGAATGTGTAAATAATATGTATAGCACATGCCAATGTAACAAACAAATCATTATATTTCTTTCACCTTTTCTGTATTCTGTTTAGTCTAAATACTGTATATTGAAAATGATAACATTTTATTGAAATAAATATCTATATAGGGTTTTTATATTATATTTATTTTATTTCAATTCTGTAAAGAGCATGTCTGTATCTCATTGAAGTGTTTATTGATTATATTCATGATTGTACTCACTGGTTCTATTTTTGTGTTTAGTGTTTTCATACTATGCATATTTTCCTAGAAAGCTAGTTTGGGGAGGGGAATTAAGAATTGAAACACAGGAACCTTTATAAAATGAATGTAGAGAAAATACTACAATTTAAGATACAATATCTTAACATTATTAAGATAACATCATTCTAATATATTCATTTAAGTACCATTGACTTAAACATGCATTGGTCCTTGAAATGTGACAAACTTTTAAAAAAGGTATATAATGATCTTATTGCTACTATGAACAATAGGTTTATTTTTAAAATTCATTTTAATAGATTCACTTATCACAATATCACTTTTTAGATTTTAGATTTTAATCCGACTCTAAATTAATTGGTAGAACAGACAAACAGTGCCATTGCAATTTTGTTTTTGTATTTTTACAAGAAAAGACTTATATGGCTCATTATTTTAAAACCAGTTAAAATTATGTTTTTAGATGAATAGACAAATTATTTTTTTTTACCATGACAAATATTGTAGGTTTATTTGTTTATATATATTCTGAATTTGGATATTAAAAACTTGATACCCGAGAAAAGTTTGTCTACTTTCATGTCCTGTTAAAAAAAAGACAAAAAAATCATATTATACAGATTAATACATATTGTAACTTTCATTTACATTTGATATCTTTATAAAAGAGAGTTAACATACACAAAGATGATACGTTTTAGATAATCCTAATTTTGATTGGATATTTAGAATGCACTTTCATTATTCATATTCCTGCTTTTGTACTTTTCTTCCTTAAGATTTAATATGTATCAATTGAATAAATGTATTATTTATTATAAATTTATTTGAAAACATAGACTCTGCTGTCATTTAATAGTGAGATCAAATATTTGTGTCCTGTGAATAAGTCTGTTAGTACACACTATACATTTTATATTTCATATCTACTTTCATATCTACTCACAAAGTGAAATGCAGATTTAACATTTTTCCTACTCTCTTTATTAGTATGCACAAGTGGTTTTCTTGTGTTATTATTTAAAGGTGTTTTAAGTATAAGGTTCTAAAATAACAGATGTTTTCACATGGAAAATGTCATAGTATAAATTATGAGATACATGCCTTTCCAAAAGGGTGCTCCTTTGAATAATAACTTTGCTTTTCCTTTGGGGACAAATCTCTTCTGGATTCTCTTTATACAGTTAAGGTTATAAATGAAACTAAACTATATTCACATCCCCTTGCTTTTGAATCCAGAGGATGTGAAATCACTCATCTAAAGTATGAACATTAAATACAATTTCAAGAAAAATGCCAGTCAGCACTAGATTTGGAAAACCAAAATCTTTGGCAGTCTTTGACACAGGAGATATGCATTTGTGTTACTTTTTGTTACATTTTCCTTGAATGAATTGCTTTGTCAGAAGTCTCACAGAAGCTTTTCATGTTTCTAGATACTGATCCTCAAATCTTGCAGAAAGTTAACTTTGACATGGAGTCAAAATGAATTCATTCTTTGCTACTATTTCCTGGCTGCTGGCAATTCATTCAATGTAAAATATACTAAGCAGTGATCAGCCATCAAAAGATGAGAGACATATTTAATTTGCCATGTTTTAAACCAGAATTTTTATCCAGGTATACACTATATGAAAGCCTACAGTGATTGTAAGGATTTTGTTTTCTTTCAACTTTTGAAACTGCTTGAGCTTGAAGACCTGGCAGCGTAACAACTCATACTCAGCAGCTATACCAAAGGGGATAAATAACCTATTAAATACAGTACGTGAGAAAAACTGGGGTCATACAGATTCAGCCATCTAGAATGCGCAAGATGTTAGTGACTGTTTTTATTTTTTCGATAATCTGATTTTGGACTGTACTACACTGTAAAACTGCCAGGTGGCACAGTGAATCTAGTACTGCAGCTGTATATTTTTGTCAGACAAATCAGTACATTATAAAATGTGTATTAACCTATTAGTGCACTCCTGTACTAATCATTCTGTAGCATATTAGCAACATTTTTGTTAAATACAATGATTACATTGTTGAGACAGGACGTTTTTTTTAAAAAAGCTCCAGCTTTCCAGAGGTCATTACCACCTGGAAGAAATGAGCCCTAAAACATCATGCAGTGAACTGGAGTCAGGTGATGTTCATCTGGAAGATGACATTTTATTGAAAATGTGAGATAGAAAATAGTATACAGAAAAACTTAAAAGATTTTTACTGAGAGACATTGACATAGACAATCACTGTTTTTCAGCTCGATGATGAACTTCATGGTGCAAGTAAGCTATTTTATTTTATAATGATGATGCTAGTCTGTGATATCAAGGAATAGGGGAGGTTGATCGACAAAAATATTATATACTGTATTGCACAAAAGTCACTTTCTGGTATAGCTGGTATCTTTGTATATGCAGGACCAACAGTGTATCAGGAGTAAACTGTCTCCTCACTACACTGATACTATGTTTAGTTGTTAATTGACCAAATGGTTTTTAAATAGCAGAAGTTAATGTAATGGGCTCCATATAATCAATGAAGAAAAATCAATGGTGGGTAGCTATTTCTATTTCTTGAAAATATAGCATATTTTATATTTAGTTCAGGTGGGTAGCTGTGTCAGCATGCATAGGTTGGAAAGGAACAAGTAATAGATTTATTCCATACTGAAAAGAGAGGAAAAAAAACAATGTTTCGGCAGTGGAGACTTATTTGGGTTTAAGCAACATATTTTATATATAAATATATAAAATACATAGCCTAGCTATCATATTAAAATGTGGCTGTACAGTTTTTTTTTCTAAAAAGGGGATTACAGTACAAGCCACGAATGGAGCCTGGATTGGAGTGACTATAAACTAATAAAAAAAAACATGAAGTAATATCCATAGATATCCACACTGTACATCAACTATAGTATTAGCAACATTTTCACAGGATGTTCTAGTAGATGCCATTACTCACACCACTGTTGCAAGCAATCATTAGAATTATATTAAAATGTTTGAGCAGTGCATACAGTACCCCAACAGCAAATTGCAATATTAACAATTTAAATATATTGATTTAAATCTTGTTCAGATTTCTATCAGAAACTGTACAATGCAACACAACAAAGTTAGTTTTTACGTGTTTATTTGCTTTTACAACTGATATTTTAAACCCACTAAGTAAAAATTATTCTTTATAATCCAAATCTAAAATATATATTTTTTATTCTATAGTTACTATTCATACACGATTACTAATAGTTTTGTATACTCCATGCAATTAAAAAAATATCAATTGGAGTTGTAGCAACATGGTGATGTTAGCTACATTCTCAGTCTCTTTGTTAGTTGCAGCATGGAAAAACATCTATATTTTAGTCCTGAAACTTAGTAACGTTTAAGTATTGTTGTGATGACTCATATTTTAAAAATTATTTTAATTAAAATTCAATAATCAATGGATTTGCAAAAGACTCAACGACTCATTGTTGAAATAAGCCAATTAATTATATTTTAATTAATACATTTTATCCATATACCCAATCCCAGAACCGGATTCTGTTTTGAGAAAAATCTGAAATGATCAAAAACAAATGATGAGAGAATAATATACACTGTAAGACTTGCAAAGTAAGTGGTATAAATACAGGTTAGTCATAAGTATATTATTTACTATATTTAAAAAAAACATATAAAGCTAAACTCACGATTAGTCATACCACTAGTTAAATGTTGGCACATACTTACTGTAGGTCTAAGGGGAACCTACTTACGACTACATGAACCATAACACATACAGCTCTGGCAATTTTGTCTTGCAACTGAACTGCCTCACAAATGAATCAAAACTTGGTAAATTTCACAAACAAACCTCCTTTCAATATGAACCTCACAAGTTGCTGTGATAATTCTTCTACCTATGCCATATCATTAACTTCTTGGAAAAATGCAGTCTCTTACGCAAACTGCTCTTGTGCAAGGATTATTTTACCACTTAACTTCAAACATCGTGTGTTCACTGAAGTTGCAATGCAATTAAAATACAGTGAAATAGAGTTTGTGCGTAAACCAGGAAGGTGGCTTGACCACCATTTTGTTCTTTTCTCAATACTCATCTAGTACCACGATCTGCTCCTGAGCAAAAACTGTTAGGTTGTTTTTATTCTAAACATGGTAGGTACAGTATGATTTTAGTGACATTACACTTTATATATGGCAAAATCGGGTTCCTGCATTCCCTTTGACTATCATTGTGTTTGCAGTCTTCAGAATACCATCTGTTTTGTCTAGGTAACCATTGCAATGGTCAACCTTGCATTTGGCAGGTTTCATTACATTGAGACCTGATAATGAGTTTCACCTCATAACACTTTATACACCCACATCCAGTAATCACCTGCTTGGAGAAATGAAACCAACCTGTAATTTTAACTGTTGCTCTTGCAACATTCTTGTGGTCACAGAATTACAAAATTTGTAGGTATCATTCTGGTTTTCCTTTTCATCAGTCTCTTACTGTGACTCACACTATTCATGTACAATAAGTGGGTTGGGATGTGCTTTAAGTGGCTTGGAGTTTCCTAGTTTCCTTGTGCAACTTACTGTATGCTTTGCCTTTTCACATATTATTGGGCCTTGAATTCAACCATTTATTCTAAATGCAGGTTTGGAAAAAAAACTACTCTTAATGCTCAGCAAAAATAAAACACTGCCTGTATTTGTAGCCCTCTTATCACTGAGTACCATATGGACATTTGTATTCAAGTTTTTTATTGCTTTTTAAGAATTAGCTTAGAGAAATTTCAAACGATTTCAGTTTCCAAACTAATGTCAACTGCACTTTGGGTTGATGGAATTTTTCATGCCAGAATACATTACAACTCTTGAAGGAATTGAAGTATGACAGAGGTTTATTATTGTTTTAATTACTTCAGTAACTGTGAGGCATATGCACATAAACATTTACTGACATATTTGATGAAGCCCTGACTTTTAACAAACTCGATCATATGGCTCTTAATTCTTAGAAAAGAAATAATAAAGCATGAATCAGCTGTTCAATTGTTTATATATAGTCAGATTTAAAAGAAAAACAGCTCCTTTGATAGCAAGTGTTTTGAGGGATTTAAATTTGATGACTATTGTAGTAAAAACGATAAGACTTAGCTATAGTAATATTCATTTAAACACATAAATTAAATATATAAATTACATAATGCCTATTGTGGTAATCCCCATAGTTATTAAATCTAAAAATTCACAAAATGTAACACTATAGCCTTTTCGTTATTGAAAATATGTGGAGAATATAACAACAATATTGGCTACCCATTCATTTTCAGACTTGTTAATTACTTAAAATTAATTTGAAGAACACCTGCTGTATCAAAACTACAAATTAAGTACACAATGTAAGTCCAATTCTTAAAATAGATATCAGTATTTACTGGTTATTTTCAAAATTGACAGAAAAAGGAGAATTTGACATACTGTAAATGGAGAACCTTGACATTTGTATATGATATGTACAGTATAGAGTACAATATATCCAAGTCACATAATAAGAACTATAATAAGTCAGATTATAAGAACAGGTGAAGATCAGAGAAAGTCTCTGCTGATGGTTGTGACACTAACAAAATAATCTATGGACCTTGGAAGAGGAGCATTCTAAGGGATATTGATAGATGCTCATGGGTAATCTCTAAGGCATTTTATTTTATGATGTCATCTATAAACATTTTTGCAGTTTTCAGAATTGTCATAAAGATGTACAGTAGCGGTTGAGGTAGAAGTTTGAGTAGAGGTTTCAGTGATAACACCAGTCATATCTGAAAACATAGACTTCTACATCCAAAAGTGCTCAGTTAAAGAACACTCCCAAAACATGAAGGCAAGTACTGACTTGTACTGGCAGTCTCCATCTTAAACAAGACTACTATCCAACTTGGAAGCAGATTGATTTCATATAAGAAAAGAGTTATCTAGAATGGCATGCAGTGGTTAGCACTACTGCCTCGCAGCACTGGATGTTCATTTCCAGACCTAGTGTGCTATCTGCGCAGTTTGTACAGTATGTTCTCCCCATGTTTGCATGGGTTTTCTCGGTCTGTGATTTCCTCCCATAATCCAAAGGCATACTGGTAGATTGGTTAGCTTTTGGGAAAATTGTCCCTGGTATGAGTGTGTGCGTATCTGTCTCTGTGTGTGCTATACGACGGACTGGAGTCTCATCCAATGTGAATCTGCCTTGCTCCCATTGTTTGTAGAGATAGGGTCTGGCTCCCCCATGATGCTGTATTAAATGAAGCAGTAAGAAAACAGATGAATGGAAGAGTTATCTATGGCAGAAAAACAAAAGAAATGCTAACCTTGTTCACACGAAATGTAAATACTTTATTATTTTGAATACAGCATAAGGTGACACCGGAAGGCATTCTATTTGCTGTGCCCATATTTCTTCAGTGCTGTGTATGGTCCAGCATAAACAGGGATTTCAAAAATGATTCAGTCTTGACATCTATTTACTTTGCTTGGTTTCTTGATCTCTCTTGGTTCTGTCAAATGGCCAATAATCTAAACACTGAAACCTAGAGTAAATGTACTGTTTATCAGCATTGGCTGCAAAACTAATCATCCAAGGATGATGATGTTGTTGTTGTTGTTGATGATGTTCATGATGATGATAATAATAATACAGTATGCTTTCATGATGTCTGTACTTGTCTAAGCCTGCACACTAAATATAACTTTAGACATTTTTTTATGTACATCAAAAAGTAAAATAAACCCTATAACCAATTTAATAATTAGATCCTTGACAAATCTGAATCAATGTCTCTTTCAGTCTCAATATATTATTTAACAAAAGAGGAAACAGTATAGACTCTAATCACATGTTGCTTCAGTATTGAAGTTGTATTCTGAGATGGTTTATTAAAGAGGATTTTGTTCAAATACGGTGTTTGCATTATTATAATTACATACAATTATTTTAAGAAAGCATAAAGGTATAACATTACAATCCATATTCAGCTTTTGTGGTCATTATGCATATATAAATATTTACAAACCTTATACTTCAATGACAGAATGTGAATATATCAGTGTTGGGAAGTTTACATCATATCTTTGAAAATAAAGTTGTTGAAAGTATTTGATTACATATATTTGACAATCACAAAAATTAAATTTGACTACAACCCATATTAATACTGATCCTGTTACTATATACAACAAAAATATGATGAAAAAGATCTTGAAAATAAAATATCCAAGCCTAAAACTAGCAGATTTTAGATAACCAATTTAAATTTGGTTGTAATTCTACAAAGTAATGCTTGTTGTTTTTTTTCCCAGACCTTAATGTATAATATTACTGAAAACTTGCTGATAATTTTTGTTATCCTTCCACTGATGTGCTGTAGGTTTTTCTCTAATTTGTACATGCCCAAAACCACTGTGAGTATTTGCTGGTCTTGTGTCCTTGGTAGAGCAAGCAGTGGTTCGTGATTATAGTATGAACACTTCAACGTGGTTTCAAACTATATCTTAAGTTATGCTGTTCTAAAATCCCATGGATACTGGATATCTACTGGTGTCTGTACCCAAAGGAAATCACGAGGCAGGTGAGGTTTACTTAAAAATTTTAATTGTATCTAACGATTTCTGTTTTCTTGTCTTTATTTCTTTGTAAGTTGAATGGGTGGTGTATTCTGTTCTTATTCCCATTATACAGTACGTGGATTGATTGACGAGTTCAGAGTTATTGATTCAGTAAATTTAATCTAGGGTATGGTATGCATTCAAGTGCTGCGCGTATTTGGTTAAGATGTTTTGGTCATTGAATGCATTTTACCTCTATTGTTCAATATTATGAATATTAAAGCAAATAAATTCAACAACATAAAACATAACTATTAAATGTATATATTACGTCTGTGTTTTAAACGATTGATGTAAAATATTATTTCTAGGCTACTTTTGTTTAATGGAAATACGAGTGATCTTTTGGTTCCCTGTTATTTCAAGTTTGTGGCAAACTTTTAAAGTTCCATGGATTCTTGGTGAAATTTAATTAACATTGTTGACTATTGGAACACGAAACAAGCTCAACTGATGTCAATAACAATTTTAGCTTTAACCTCAATGGTTTGTCTTGAAACATTTTTTTGCTTTTTGCTTTTACTTAGACAACATAATTGTTTTTAAAAAGAAAATCTACTATCCGGTCTGTGCTTGCGAGTCAGTGTTTTAAATGAACCATTTTTGTAAATTTACTGTATATGTTAAGAAAACACATAAAGCGCGTTCCAGAAAATCGTTTCGTTTAACTTCAACTTTAAAGTTATTGTGCTTAACCGTATAAATGAAGCGCTGGATAAAACTGACAAAAGTGCCGACATGCCGTATCATGGATGAATCTTTTTTAAAGATACGCAACAGGTTCCGTACATGATGCCATTATTATTATTCTTGTTTTTGTTGTTGTTGTCGTTAAAAAAAAACATTTGTTTTATAGTTTACAGTCACTTCAGATCAACAAAACTAACAAATTAAAGTAGAAGAACGTTTTGTTTATAAAATTTTATTTTATAGAAATGGAAAACTATTTTAAGAATATAATTACATTTGCTAAATTATAAAATAAAATGTTGCGCTCTTCCTGAATACAAAGGTTTCACCATTTTTTCCCTATGTTTTTTACACAAATTAAATTAGCGGGGAGTTCTTGTTTTTCGCAATTTTTTGAATAAAAACCGACCGTGCACTCAAAATAAACCACTGTTGTAAAACGAGGAATCGCTGTGATGATTATAAAATTATTATTATTTGCTAAGCGTACACCCAAACAATCATGGTGGTACAATACAGTAACATAAACGAAATCATTAATAAAATAAATGGGGCGATTACAAAGTGGTCGAGCCAAGACGTTTCTGTCAAACACATGCAATAGTTATAATTTTAGGTATACAGATACTGTGCATACAGTATATAGTATACCGTAATGTCAGTTCTTTGGATCTGTATACATTGTTTACAGTAAGCATCTTACTGTATGTGCAATTAGCAAATTACATTATCTGTCTTGAGAATGTAAAACATAACTGTATTCAACATCTCCCAAAGGAGATTTCCCAAAGGTCTTATTTAAAGTAATAGTTAATGTCTGCAAACTACTTGAAAGGTCTACATTAATAAAACATGTATTTTTAAATCATGAAACAAGCTGGTCTTTTTTACATTCAGAAAGTGTGTGGTTATATTTAAATTAATACCGTTCCCTGTGACTTGTGGTATGGTTTAGATTATTTGGATAATGTAAATGTTGTGTTTCAATTAGCTTTCGACTTTTCAAAATCTCCAATCAATTAGCAAGGCTATTCATTACGAGGAGTTCATAAATCATCACACGTTTTTTTACATGGAATGTCACAACATATGTTGCAAATGAAAGTCAATTTAATAGTTCCTTTTATTTCAAATCGTTTTACTATCACTTAAGTCCTGTTTAGCTTGGATTTGGTGTCTGGGAGGAGTCTTAACTTTTCCATATTCATTAGAAGTTGGGAGGCTACTTTAGGGAATGCGTTGGGCTTCGTGATATAAAAAGAAGCCTCAGTTTACAGCGAGACAAGACAAATTAACAACCTTTGCAAACAAAAGATCTGGGAGACATATTGCCGTTATAAAAATTTAAACAGAACATTTATCCCATGCGCCAAGTTATCGAGCATCGGGAAAGCAGTAGGCCAATAGATGATTATGGAATATATGAATGAGAAGTTTTCTATGAAGAGCCAAGCGGTTAAAGGCAATGATTTCTACATTGGATCGGGAGGCACGCTGGATCAAGTTATGGAAAGCTTAGAGAGTGTACAGTTCTATAACAAGACCTCACTCAAATGCGGTCAGGCCTTTAATCTTCAGAACAATGATCACCAAGGACGACTCGAAAGATCATCACCTTGTAAGGACCAAAACGGTGAGACACTCGCTTTCATTATCAGTGTATCCAATCAGACGTAAGATTGGTGGTAAACTGTTTGAAGAAGTATTTTTTTTTCAAACTTATTATTTTTGTTTTATAATTATTAGTAAGAAATCTTTTCAACTTAATTTTTCTATGACTTTTAATTTATGTTTATTTTGTACAGCAGGTCATTTACTGTATGCGTTTCTATTCAGCTTTATAACTGTTATGCATGTTAACATCAAAGCACAATAATTTTGTTCTACTCCCCTTAATTGTTTTGGAGGCAATATTCCAGGGATAAAATGTTTTTTTCTTGCATGCTATTTACAAAGAACAATACACTATTCATATTTCCAAACCAGAACAATTTGTTATGGTCATCAAGTGAATATGTAATGCAGTTACCATACTAGATTTTTTTTTTACTTGAGTACAGTATATACAGTATAGTTGTTTATTTATGTAACACTTGATGCGCATTGATAGGCCTTGTTTAAGGCCTTCAAATACAGTATGTGTTTTACCATGTTTTATTAAATGATGTATTATACTGTAAGCGTTACTGAAATTAAGATTGCAGTGAAATTAATTAAAACGTACTCTAATTAAATATGTAGTAATAGCACAATATTTGACACACACTTTGTATAAATATTTGTATAATTTTAAATCATAAATATGAAGTGATACCTGGTATTTAATACCTGGTTTGCATTACAACTGGTGACACTTCACCAAATATGTACTGTATACCTAGGACAATATTTTCAGAATATTCCTGCATTTCAAAGCAAAACTGTGGGACAGGGATCAATCAATTAATGTCATTAATGATTAATTAAATAAGCAGCTCTTTCATTCAGGAAGTTAATGTAACTGTCGTTTACTTCTCAAACTTAATTTAGATACAACTTAAGAAGGCGTCTTAACTGCAGTAACACGCAACAAGAAAACCTCTCTGAAACATGAGTTACACAAGATTTCAAAAGGCTCTGACGTTCTGTTTATGGAAAGGGTTTAAATGCTTCAGCTACTCTTTGAAATAGCAAGGCTTTCTCAAGGCACGAATGCACAAAATAAAAAAGGGCGAAATATTTTTTTTTCTTTTTGATGGATTTTAGGAGTGTTTCGTTTTGTCATTTTTGTTTTACCAAGTTCGGAAAAATCTCAGTTGTAATTTTCCTTTGTAATTCAATGTAAAACGTCTTACAGACTTTGACTTCCTGTAACATGTAAAATGTAAGTGGATTTATACAAGTATGCTTACAAGTACATGAACAATGTTTATTGCTTCCTCTCAGACCCAGGTTCTCACGGCATCTGTCAGGACCTAATGAAATATGCATCTACCAGGTTACTGTATACGCGATCAAATATTCTTATATTGCCGATTCCCCCCTGAAGATTTTTGTTTTCCTGTCACTTTATTAATTCTGTGGATATTTTACTTTGTTGTATCAGTTGTACTTTGATACAACTGATACAACACTGATTCATATTTGATGAATGTTTATTAGCATTCATAATTTAGCATTATTTTCTTAATAAAAGGTAAAGAGAAAAATGCGAATACTTAATGGAACGTTTCGAAATTTGTATTACTTTCTCAGCGAACTACGGAGTTCCTAAATCTGAGGAGGAAAGTCTCCACACAGATCTAGGAAGGTCAATGGAGAATTGCTGCAACCTGAGAGTATCACCGGCAACTCAGGGCCAGGAGAAACCTGACTTGGACGACATCAACGAGAAGTGCGACAGCAACGTGTCCAGCAGCAAAAAGAGGCGGCATAGAACAACATTTACTAGCATACAGCTGGAAGAACTCGAAAAGGTTTTCCAGAAAACTCACTATCCAGATGTTTACGTGAGGGAACAGCTGGCGATGAGAACAGAACTCACGGAAGCTAGAGTACAGGTGACCTGAGTTAGCGTCTTTTACAGATAACGAAGATAATAATTGTCGATGTAACTAATAATTTCAACATTTAGACTATAGAGTATGGAGGATGGCGTTTTTGAAGACGTTTCTTCTGGTTTCTCTTGCTAAATTTAATTTTTCTTCTGTTTTGCGGTTTACAAATCAAGACATTACATAGGTCTAATGCAAAAAAAAAGACCCAACAACTAATAAAATAGTCAAAACATTCTGGGAACATTTTGTATATGTAAACTATAATTATATATGTAATGACGTTATACTGTCAGGAATAATTTAAACGATTAGGAATGGGTGATTTAAACACTTGAAGTGACATGCAGACTCTTTGAAAGCTGTGACAGCTGTGTATACAGTTCTATCGATGTTTTCATTCATTATATCGGTAAGATACATTGGTTTATTTTTATTTTTTTACTATTTTGTAGGTGTGGTTTCAGAACAGAAGAGCTAAATGGAGAAAAAGAGAGCGTTATGGCCAGATTCAACAAGCAAAAAGCCACTTCGCAGCTACCTACGACATATCGGTCTTGCCAAGGGCGGACAGTTACTCACAGGTACTGTAGGTTTTTTTTCCTATTCTTGGTTTTGTGTCAGTACCCTGGATATACTGTACCTTGCTGTAACAAGCAGGGTTTGTTTTAAAGGATAACAAACGTCAGTAATTGGTTTGTACGTGCGTGCTCTACTTGCTACTGTATGTTTTGCGATTTTTAATTTAATATTAATACCCTTTCAAATAGAAACACCATTGACAGGCTTTTGATATTTAAAGTGCCACTCAAACGCGAAATAAGCTGTTTAAATTCTTCCACGAAAGAATCTGTCAGTGTAGCCAGCCTTGAATTAGTTTCTTTTCGTTTACTTATTAGGAGTTTATAATTAGTAAGATATCGAAAGTGCGTTTTTTTGCTTAACCTAAATAATCGTTAACGTTTTCGGTATGCTCAGTTAAATGTTTATTTCGCCACCGGTAATTAATGGGAACAAATTATACCACAAGTGGAATATAAGCAGTTAAGGTATCGTTTGTGTTACCGTATGTTTTATTTCCATTAGCAACTCCCCTTATAAGCAAAATCAGAATTAAATCTCTGCAAACACAATGTACTAGAAAGTTAATTTGTCCGAAATCTGAAGCAGTTTAGTTATTTTCATTTTAGACAGCCGACGGCAGTTCTCAGTTTTGTCGAGAAAACAATGTATGAGTTTTCTTACTTTCTATGGAAGCACAGTATTATTTCTTATTTTCTATGTCACTATTTTATCGTATATCTTTAATTTATGACAAGAAGGGAGTGAGCAGTTGTGTTAAAAGTGCCTCTGAAGGTTATTTAGTCATTTTGCCTCACCCTTTTTGAATTCTTAAATTAAAAAACAAAAACAAAAAGTAAGAAAGAGGATCTATTAAAAATCTATTATAAATGGAACTTATCAAAACATCATGAAATATTAATTTCTTACTAATAATACATACATTTTCTGATATGTTTTTTTTTTATCAGACCACATAAATGTTGTTCAAGACAAGATTTACCTCACATTTACAGAAATTTTAAAACTTAAGAATGTCTTTGAATCAAAGAATTTATTTATTGTTAGTATCTAGTATTAATGGATTGTATCCCATCCTTGGTTCAGAATCATTATTTGCTATTTTTGGCCTTGATTGGTCTTCAACAACCAGGACAGCGAGCTAAATTTAAATTCATAGTCAAAAATCCCTTTTAATTAATAAAAGTAGTTATAGGTCTACATGGAAAATGAAGATGTATTCAACTTAACTGATTTGACTTTACATTCATATTCAATCTCTAGGCCTGTTTTAATCTGTTATTCTCATTTGTTTTCTACATAAATACCAGCATAAACCCAAAGACCTGTGTTATTATTACTAACATTATTAAAACAATACTTTAACAGTAGACATTCTGTAAAATTCATTACGTTGCCTTTATATGAAGTCAAATAATTAACATTGAAAATGTTCATAATATTAATCAGAAAATAGTTACCAGCTACAAAATATAGGTTCCTTTCAAATTGAAATGTCCTGTTGCAGAACCTAGACTCCCTACTGCATGTGTTACATATAAATAAAAACTTGCATATATTTCTGCATACATACAGTAGATTATTTTCATTGCAAAACATACATTGCTTTTTTGGTATCTGAGGATGGTTCATTGGTACTAACTGGAGGCACCATACAGTATATCCATTTCAATATAATATATTGAACTTTAAAGATAAAGAAGAAACACATGCCAACAATATAATAACATGAATTTCAAAATAAAATCTCCAATGTTTCTAGATGAAAATGTTAATAGATGCTTTGTTTATTCATCTCAGATTCAAAACAACTTGTGGACAGGACCAGCCCCGAGTGGTTCTGTGGTTTCTTCATGCATGATACCACGTGACTCTTCTCCCTGCATGTCCTCATACCCACATTCACCCCGGAATGACCATGGATATGTGGGATTTCCCAACCAGCAAAACCAATTTAGCCATGTTTCTCTAAACAACTTTTTTACTGACTCTTTACTCTCTACGACTCCTAATGGACATGCATTTGAAACAAAACCTGAGTTTGAGAGGAGATCCTCTAGTATAGCAGTTCTTCGAATGAAAGCAAAGGAGCACACAGCTAACATTTCATGGGCTATGTAAGAAATCAAGCCAAATGCTTTTCATTTATTATAATAATAATAATAATAATAATAATAATGCTTCATTTGTTTTAAACAGACATCAAACACACCAGACAGTAATTACTTGAGAAATTACTGTAGTAAAATGCTATTAATGCCAATTCAAATATTTTTTTAAAACCACATAATGACATGATGTTTCTGAAACATTGGTGCTCTTTTAAAGCACCACTATTCCTACTATTAAGTTAAATAAAAATTTGGAGTTTTACCCCTTGTATCTTGAAAGTAACTATGTAGACACAACAATTCAATAACTCCCTCAACTCATTAGATATTTTGTGCCATTCAAAGTCAATGCTGATGATTCAATTACACACAATTTTCAATGGTTGGGGTCACCAAGTTTTAAAAACTGGCATATTTAATTACATCTTTTGTTTGTTTTGCAGCAGAACTCTTTATTCTTACCTGTCTATGCCTCATTTTGTGCTAAAGCACAAAAAGAGTTTTGTTTTTTATTGTAAAATCAAATTAAAATTAACAAACTCTATTCATTTGTCTTGTCTTTTTCCGTACACATTCCATGCTGTTAAATGTGCATTGTAGAACAAAGTGTAGATGTCGTTTTTGTGTGATACATAGTATACAGTGCCGTGTAAACATATTCACACCCTTCCTACGGTGCCCCTTTCTGTAAAATTATAAGTTTTAAAACTTAATATTTTACTCAAAACCTGAGTGCTCAAACTGCAGACTTCTTAGGGTAAGATAAGTTACAGTAAATGGCAGCAAAAGCTAAATAGAAATATGTTGATTGTGGAAGTATTCAGAATAGTGAACTTAATATCTGACAGAATCAGCAATTATAGCTGCATGCTTTATGGGTTAAGTCTGTAACAACTTTGCACATTATTTTTTTGTTCAAGCTTTCTCAGCTGATTTGGGGATCATTTATGCATGGCAGTTTTCAAGTCTTTTCACCTGTTCTCAATAAGATTCAAGTGAGAAGATTGAATGGGAAACTCCACCCATACAGTATATATTTACTTTCTTCTTCAGCCATTTCAGTGCAGCTTTGGCCTTGATTAATCACTGTCTTACTGCAGGTGAATTTCCTCCTCGGTTTTAAGTCTTTAGCGGTTTTCCACCATTCTTGTGGTCTGTGCCTATCTACAACTTTATGCTTAAGTTGTTTTCAAAGAACCTTGGTCTTCATGGTTGAATCTTTGAAGTTCATGAACTTTGCAGAATCATATGTATTAATTATCCTGTGATCCTGTGAATGACTGTTATTATTGTGCGCAAAGGCAACTAAACTTGTTACCTCATCTGACCAATTTAGGTAATTTTGTGCACATAAATGAACTTTTCCACAGCAAAGGGATTGAATGTTTATGCAATTATGGATTCCAGTTTTTTCACATTATTTATGTACTTATTTTTGTTTAAATTCTTGCTTTCCATATGTAGGTGCTACTGTATATATATAAATCTTAACTGCTACTTCAGAGTGTCATGACTGCAAGTTTAAAGCAACAAAATGTGCAAACTGTGGAATATCTTAAAATTTTCCAAGGCACTGGTATTCATACGGTTTACAGTATATAGTATTGCGTACATATACTGTATATGAACTGTAGTATAATTGGAGAAAACCATTATCCCTAGAGGGTGATAATAATGGACCATTTTCCCCTTTTTTGTCATCTTTCAGAAACATCTTAAATTTATTAGAGTCCTCAAGCTTTAGGATGACTTAAAACACAGCCGTATGCACATTTTGTCCTGAAGCAGCACTGAAGTATTAATACTTCAAAGCAGTTTGCCATTTTAGGCTTACTCCATACTGTTTTTTGAATATTCATATCTTAATTCCTGTGTTTTAAAAGGGTATCCAAAATGATATTTTGAATCATTTACTTTAAACCCTTTAGTTGTGCTGTTTTTTAAAAAGAAAACATCATTTGCTGATTTCTAGTCATAACTCACAAGAAAAAACACTGTTACAGAATAATAAGAATTGCAAGATACAGTATGATGTTGAAGGAACTCGGAATTGATCTTTGTGTCCCCTTTGACAAAATAAAGAGAAGGGCTATCATAAAGCATAAAACATCTGAGAGTACTGTATATGCATTTATAAATACATACACTTATATGCAAGAATAACAATTGTCATAACTGTAATTACCATAATTGTAGTACACCAACATTTGACTTTATAACTAGTGTTTAAACTAAATGAAAGAATTAAGAAAAAAACAAGTTTGTATTCATTTATGTAACTGTTCATATCTATATACAGTTGATCTATGAGATCACTTCCCTAGTAAAAGATAGTTATCTGCTGGCTTCTTCCAGAAAACTGGTCTGTATGAATCATCCTAATCTAATTAAAATTTAAATCAATGTCAGATGTGTATCTTGATACGTATACGTTTGCTGGAGATGTTTACATAGCTGTATACCTGCATAAGCCCTTAGCTTCAGTATGTTGTGGAAACATCAGTCATACAGTTATCTTCTACTCTTTCTTGGGAACTGAAGTGGTTGGCCTCCTTTCTTCCAATGTAATTTGCATAGATTAACTGAAATGAAGTTTTGATGTTCCTTTAAAACGGTTTATGTGAGATTATACAACTCTCTGTATATACAGTATGCATACTAAAATATTATGTACAGTAATATAGTATAAATGTACAGGGGCAGCACTGTGGTGCAATGTTTGCTGTCTTACAGTGCTGGGATTCTGGGTTCAACTCTGGTCCTGGAGTGCTATTTGAGTAGAGTTTGAATGTTCTCGCCGTGTTCGTGTTAGTTTCCTCTGGGTGCTCCGGTATCCTCCCACAGTCAAATATTGTGGAAAATTGGCACTGGAATGTGCCTGTTTAGGTTTGTGTCTGTATCTGCCCTGTGATGGACTGGCATCCCATCCATCACAGGGCACAGGAATTGGAAGAAGAGATTAGAAAATTGCTTGGATAGATACAAATACAGTGTACTGCAATATGGCAGTCACCCCAATTTGTCCCATTTTGTTGAGTTACAAGGACATTTGTTTTCTTCTTATAAGATGCTCTGATAAGCTGTAGTTAGTTTCAGTGTTGTGCTTTGGTCATGGTCCTGCTGAAAGGTGATTTTTCATCCCAGTCTTAGGTCTCAAGCAAACTGAAGGAAGTCTTTCTTTAAGATTTGCCTATTCTTTGGTCCAGAGATTGACATCTTGAGAGGCTTCCAAGTTCCTGCTGATGAGGAGCAACCCCATTACACAATTCTTTCACCAACATACTTGACAGTAGGGATAGGGTTGAATATTGACGTGCTGTGTTGGGTTTGTGTCAAAGATGTAACAATTTGCATTCAGTCCAAAAGGTTTCAGTTCTGTCTTGTCTAACCACAAAACCTTTTGCCGCATGTTTGTAAAATCACTTAAATGCTTTGTTGCAAACTCCACTTAGGGAGTGAGATGCATATAGCATATTTGTCATTATTCTTGCCACTCTGCAATACTGGTCAGTTTGGTGAGGTGACTAGAATATTGTTGTGATTTTCCACCATCACAGATATTGAACTCTGTAACTTTTTCAAAGTTGTTGTTGGCCTTGTGTTTGAATTAAGTGGAAAATGTATATACTGTAGGCTTAAATTATGTAGGCCACATTAATCAAGCATGGCAAGGACACTCTCGGCAAGGACACTGATGTTCACTCTCTATTCTTACAATGTTAAGTTTTGAAGTGCCATGAAATCATTATTGATCGAATAATCAGAACTTCATTTTAATATCTTATCTGAATGATGGCAGCACCTTGCAACGAAGTGCATTGGGCGGAGCGGTGGCTCTGTGGTTAAGGATCTGCACCTGTGACCGGAAGGTTGCTGGTTCAAATCCCGTGGCCGGCAGAGGAATCCTACTCCGTTGGGCCCCCGAGCAAGACCCTTAACCCTAACTGCTCCAGGGGCACTGTACAATGGCAGACCCTGCGCTCTGACCCCAAGCTTCTCTCCCTGTCCCTGTGTCTGTGTCTCCATAGAGAAAAGCTGGGGTATGCAAAAAGACGCATTCCTAACTAAGAAATTGTGCTAATAAAGAAACATTATCATTAGCATTGTGTTGCCATATAGAGGCATTTATTTGGAAAATCTGATAAAGAAGGAAGAGTTTGATAACAAAGGGGTAAATAGTAATGCAATTATTATATTTTAATGTTTGATTTTACTTGTCCAGCAATACCACTCACAGCAGCAGACTGATTTTCTTATTGCTCACTAAATAGTTTTAACGATTTAGCCATTCTGAATTTTTCTAATCTCATGAAATCAAGCTTCAAGACAGCAATGCTACTATTAACACAAATTGTTTATGTTCTCCAGTGATGCAGTATGAAGACTGATATCTTTTTTTTTTACTGTTGGGTATGTTCATCAGCATTGTGCTGTACTGGCAATAGTGTAGAATGTCTGAAATATAGACAGATATGAACAGTAGAGTAAGGAATATGGACAGAAGTGAGCACCACCGTCATACTGCTGCCACTACTGCAAGCTCTCAGCACTGCTTGATCAGTATAACTGTCTTGCAATCTCATCATTTAGCTAATCAAATTCAACCTGTTTCTTATTTTACCTTTAAAAATACAGATTGCCTTTCAGACTTGGCTTATGGTATGATATCACAAATAATTGTAAAGAATTAACTTTGTTACAAAAAATAGCTTACATAATTGGTTTTATTGTGTTATTACCAGAACTTACATTATGCTAATACATCAGACAACTACTGAGACTGATGTCTTGTCGCTAGTACATCTATTATGACATGAAGTAACTGAGTAATTGTTTGCAATGTTTTAATTAGCTGTAGTATGCAAATGTAACTTTGATTTGAAAAACTCATTCAAAATGAGTTCACATGCTTTCTTTTTACTACAGCGTATGCAGACATGGGGGGATAGTAACGCCAGTCACAAGCTTAAAAACAACATTTTCATGGTTTATTCTGCAAATATGATCACAAAGATTTTTATTTTAAAAATTATATTCTGTAACTACAGTGGCAGTTGTTTATTTTATTTTCAACTTTTTAAATAAAGCGAGCTGAAATTTGTACAATGCATATAAATCTATGTAGCTGAAGATGAAGAAAATATTAATACAAATATATATATATAACATGTATATATATGTTATGTGCATAGCATATAACATAACCTAAAATGAGATTATCTGGATTTTATATGATTATTAGTATAAAGTATTAATATGAAGTCTGAAGTTTATTCAAACTTTTTCATTTTCAAGAGTTTTTCAAAATTATCTAATAGTTGAACTATGTGCCTTTCAGCAATGAGAAAAAAATTATATCAGTTTTGGACAAGGGAGTTTAACTAACTGCCAAGAGAAGTGACATATTATACAGCAAACCATAACTTCTTCTTCCTTTCAAAGACTGACCATGAAATTTATTAATATAATACAG